TGACAGGTGGCTATCTCATCAACTCAGCTCTCAATTAACATAAGAAAAAGAGAACCATGGGGGACCAACAGGCACCGACTGGGGAGGTTTTCTATATAGAGGGAGCAAGTAGCTATAAGTAGTACAGTGGGGCTTTTAGGAAATTCTGAAAGACCTCTCAGTCCGTTGGTGCAAATTCTGCAGGAAGGGTTCTAGTTGCATTGAAAGGTAATGGTATAGAGATCTCCTATGGGTCATGGGGAGTACAAGTAAAACTATCAAGCCATTTCAGGCACATGGCCTGCAGCAGTCAGGTGCCACAATGGACTCTGAAGCAGAAGATTGCTGTTACAGACTCTGGAGCAAGGGTTCAGAACGCATTCACAAACAATGCAATAGAGATCTCCTGATGGCCATGCCTTGTACAACTAATATCTTCTAAATCTGTTCTGGACACATGCTCAGCTGCAGGGTGTCACAGTTGATTCTGACGTCTATTGGTTGGTACGAACTGTGTAGGAACAGTCCTGATCCTATTCATAAACAATATTATCTAGATCTCCTACAGGCCATGTGTTGTACAACTAACAATTAATTCAGGACAAATGCCCCTTTGCAACCAAGTTAATAGAGGCAAAAGCTGTAGAATGTTGGTGCGATCTCTGTAGAAAGGGTTCTATTTGCATTGAAAGGTAATGCACTAGAAATCTCCTGTAGGCCATGCATTGTACAACCATCGATTCATTCAGGACACATGTCCTGCTGCTGAGAGCGACATTGGAATCTGAAGCAGTTGATGGTAGGAAACACTCTGTAGAAAGGTTCCCATTTGCATTGAAAAGTAATGCATTAGAGATCTCCTGTAGGCCATGGGTTGTACAGCCAACAATTCATGCAGGACACATTGGAATCTGAAGCAGTAGGTGGTAGGAACACTCTGTAGGACGAAGGCCATTTGCTTAGAAAAGTCATGCACTAGAGATCTCCTGCAGGCCATGCATTGTACAACCATCTATTCATTCAGGACCCAAGCCCTGCCGCCGAGAGTCACATTTGAGTCTGTAACCGCAGACTAGGTCAGCAAAGTGAACAGGAAGGAAGAAGGGTAGCATGAGACTGGGGCACATCTCATTAATAATTCAGAGGAAACCTTCAATCCCTGTTGAAGTGGGGAAATGCACAGACTACAAATGCATACCGTACTCTCTTCTGCAGCACAGTTATATACAGCTCCTTTCATGGCATCAAGTCTCGTAGTATTGAGGTCAAAGCTCAAAAGGCAAATTCTAAGAATTGATTAAAACTTCCTTCTACAAGATGCACTTTTACCTTATTTTATGTTTGGTTCACTATACAGGGTCCCTTTTGCATAAAACTTAGCATTGATGGTAACTCCCAAGAAAACCTTGATTTGATTGGCTATGGTATTCATTAATGTTTTCATGGTAGTTCGTATTGGTGTCAAAGTTGCCATCAGCAGTAAGTTTTATGCAAACGGGCCCTGGTCGGATTTAGAGAATTCACCTGAATAGAGACCCACTAGGAACCCAATATGTTTTCTACACCATGAAATCTGAAAATGCCCGAGACAGAAAGACATGGCCTGGAAAATAAAAATGAAACAGAAGAAGGAAAAGGCCTTAAATCTTGCATCCCATTTACTATTAATTACTTGCTCACTTCTTACTTTCACCATCGAGTTGGACAGGGAACCTGAAGGATTGGTTCTGCTGCCATTGAGGTATGCAATACGCACACTTTCAGACATCACTGATCCATCAGAGAAGGTCATTTGCCTTGCCCAGGTGCCAGGTTTTCCAGGGTAGTTCACTATGGTCATTATCAAAGAAGGGGAAAACCCCTTGTCTTGTTATGGATTTGATAACAATTACAGTACATATACCTTCAAGACATCAGAGACTGGAGATAAAGAAACAAATGGATTATACCTGATGGCAAGGTAAAACGGTGGAAAAACAGAGTGATAACAGGATAAGTCTAGGCCTTCTGTTTGCTACAATTCCCTTACAGGGCTGGCCATATTTGAATGATATGATCACGAAAACAACTGTTGTACATGTAATAATAATAATAAAAGTCATAATAGTGGGTTCTTTTATAGCGCTCATATCGGTCAGATTTGACACCCCTGGCGCTCCATAATTATTACCCCGGCTTTAGCATGGCTGCCATTATGGCACTCTAGCATTTCAAGAATGTAATTCCTACCAAGTACCAGGCACCCATCTACCTCACCTGGGTGGAGTGCGGGGATTGGCAAATGTAGATTAATGTCTAGCCAGAGGACATTGGTGCTGTGGCGGGACCTGAACAACAATCCATGCGATCCACTAGACCACGACACCTCTACATACTAAAATACACAAACAAGGAAGTTCAGTCCAGTGAAAAATTTGGCAATACTGTAAATACAGAGTAATAATGTGGCGTGAAAATGAAAGGTAAACTTCACGCAGTAAGACCACCAAGGTTAGGAAACGAGGAGGAAGGAGAGGGAGGAAGTAAATATCTTGTCATATTCAGTTGTGACTTGTAGTTACAATGTGTCAGACAATATAATGTGGTCATGCATTTCCAACAACACAAACCATTGTATGGTTGTCTGCAATGTGTATGTGCATTCACCCATGCCTGCCGAGTGAAATTTGATATCATCGTCGTCAACCGTCACTTTGTAATTGGATGCAGGCTCCTTTTGTCCTCCTACGCTGGGCTTGCAAATGAGCAAATTATCTAAATGTTGATATCATCTCGAGGTGAAATCAACATAGTGGGTCTTCAAAGGCAGGTTAAGGAGTCTTTTGATTTTAACAATGGCGCAATAAAGTTGTGCACATTGATATGACCTTGAGCTAAGGCTTTTGTTCACACAATTTGAAAATGACAGCTATGTTATGGCCAAAAATGCAGTGAGGTGACAGTTGTGATTAATCATTCTGTCGCATGAAACTTAGGGCGATCTTAACCGCTCCACTATTCATAAATATTCCAAGGGCACATAGTTGTCTGGTTTTATAGTAAGGTAATTAAGTGAGTCTGTTTTTTGAATAACAAGAAAAACATAACAGTTTGTTAAATCCATGTACTTCCTACATTGGAGGCGTTTTTCCTTCATTTCTATTTCATACTGAACCATTTGTACTTTAAAAGAGAAGACACTGCGGAAAAAAATAAGAGTACTTGCTCTAGAAAATAGTGTTTACATTTCTTGTTTGGTACTGGTTTTATAATACATTTTTATTGCTTTGGGTATATATCATAATGATAGGTATTTGAATTATTTTGAATTATGACTGGAAAGTAGTGTACTGGTTGTTCTTGTTTTTGAAAGCTTGCCAATAAATTGCAGGATGAAACAGAGACTGGCACATGCTAGACATTCACCGTAAGACGTACTACGTGACTGCTTCACAATGTTCTACAGTGAGAGACGCAATATTGAATAAGCAAAAGGAAAAGGACCGATATGTTCATGCACAAAGAAGCCCAGCTCCATAATATACAAATATTGACTGCTTTGAGGGGCCCGCTTAAAACTATTGCCCAAGGTGATCTCAAAACCTGTATCGTCCGTAGTGCAGTCTCGAGATTACTGAGGAGTTATAGTTCAACCGTGGCCCCCAAAATAAGCATGAATCCCCTTGTCAAATCTCGAAAAAGAAATATTAACATGAAGTGTATTTATTTACAGAGTGAAAAGAAATTCACTTGTCTAAGAGCATTGCACATGTCGCACTGCGCATATACGTTGTTAACTTCACGCGCATCAATGACACTTTTGCTTTATATACGCCCGGTCAAATTTTTTCTTGTTATTGCCTAGCAGTCAGTAGCGAATTGCATGCCTGCAGTTTTAACCAATCAGAGGCCTTGAATCTTCATATGCAATATAAAACTTGTTATCAATAACGAGTAACAAGAACTGTCATAAGCTACTGAAATCATGGCATTTGATTGGCTGAAACCAAACTTGTCACAGAAATTGAGCATTTGTTATTGATTAATAACAATTTTTATGAAACAGGGCTCTGAGCAATCAGCGGAATAGCCCACTGCAATCCACCTTCATGGTCCAATGTACAACATGGATCTTGTTGCTACAAAACCGTAAAACCCTGAGAAAAATTCCAACACGGACAGCTGCCAAAGATGATACGCAGGACATTCACCGTTTCATCCACTGAAGAGCTCCTCTCATCGCATCCAATTAAGATCATCGTCTCATGTCACTCTTCCTAAGATAAGATGACTAGCCAGCCATACTGTTCATCGTGGGTTGGTATCATACGGGATAGCCACATAGAACAAACAATAACAAGGAAGGAACAAGACTGCACTTTGCTTGAGGATCAACGGAAGCTTGAGTGATGATAATGAATCTTAACTTCAAGAGATACTGGCTTGAAGTAATTCTTGCTTGTACAAGTATATAGTAGATGGGTGGTTTCAAGCAGTAAACTGTAAAGACCTGGGACCGTATTCAGTACGCAGTTTAATTTAGTATTTTACTTGGCTAAGTAACATGTCTTACTCGTATTCAGATCATATCTTAGCATTTTACTTAAGCAAATCTACTTAGCAAAATACTTACTAATAAGCATTGTGACTAAGCCTTTCATGATCAATCAAAAATTATGCGCAATAAACGTGCCGCATTAAATGTGCGCTTTTTTACTTGTGTGCAGCTTAAAATTTATAACTGCGTATGATAACAATAAGGCTGCCAATCAAGGCTTCCAAAATAATAAGGAACCTGTACACAAAGACCGCCTACCTATAAAGGCCACTTTTCTTGTCTCCCTTGAGTAGTCAATATAGACATGTTTCACTGCATTTGGTATAATTGGCACATTTGGCAGATATCGCTGGACAGCGTCAATTTGTAATCGAGCGGGTACGGGAACTTGTTCATGCCTAGAGAGATTTTTGAAGGTGCCCTCTTGCAGCCAAACAACATCATACATCTAAAATAACTCTTGCGATTCCACTGGTCAACTTACCGACATGAACCTCCACCACAGCAGGGACCGTGTTGTCCTCCTCCTCGTCTCTGTAACCAGGGTGGTAATGATGCGGATGGTGCTGATTATGGTGATGGTGATGATGATGATGGTGGTGGTGGTGGTGACGATCGTGCTCTCCTTTCGACGTCTGCTGTTGCTTGATGGGGTAGAAGAGCTTCCATTCGTAGAGGATCCTCTGGGCAGTCTGGTGTGTGGACTTGTAGGCTTGACCGGTCAAGAAACCACTCAGGCCATACGGGGACAGGATCACTATCCAAATAAAAAAGAAATGAACAAACGTAACAATGTTACTAATATAATAATACTCAGTGCTCAGTGCATTGAAAGTGAAGAAGGAATTATATTATCCATCAAAACATCTTGCCAAGATCTATATCGTTCTTCATAGGTACATGTAGACATATGGAATACCAGGAACTGGATAATAAAACCATCCATTAATCCATTATGAAAAAATATTTTCTCAGCATACGGTAAACCTTATTCTTATTACTCCATTTTTTATGATAACAAAATTATTTATCCCATCTGTTGTAAGCTAAGTTTGAACTGACCAGAACTTAATCATGGGATTCAGCAAAGTTACAAAACCCCAAGATAAAACTTCAGTTTAGAAAACTTGCAGATCAATATTCTCCCCAGGACAGAACGTCCCAAGGTCTGAGCCTAAGGTAAGGTATAAACTTCTTTTACCGATTAAACCATTCTTCAGACAATAACAAATACTAAATGGCTTCCCTCAACTCATCATTAGAACCCTACTCCTTTAAACAGGTCTGTAAAACAAAGCAACAAATAAAGGGATAACATGGCTTACTGCTAGGCATGAATAGGATAGTCCCTTAAAAGGCTAGTAAATTTTACAGAACTGTAGAATGGACTAGCCTATTAGTACCGAGCTTTAAAGCTTATCTGCCATAGTTTACAGGAGGGATTAGAGCGCCCTGCAAGGTCACTGGACAGGTGGCTATCTCATCAACTCAGCTCTCAGTTAACATAAGAAAAAGAGGATCATGGGGGACCGATGGTCACCGATTAGGCATTGTTTGTTATATAGAGGGCGCAAGTAGCTACAAGTAGTGCAGTGGGCCTTTAAGCAATGTTATCCCTTCATTTGATTGCATCATATCCATGTTTTCTTACCCGGCACTGCGGTTGCTGAACCCTGAGCGATGGCTAGATGATCAGCGGTAAGCCGGCAGACGGGTTGATGCAGGCCCACTTCGACATTGCTGCACACCGTTTTCTCTCCGTGAAGAAAGAAGGAGAAACTCACAGAATGATGGTCACTGGGGAAAGAGAAAATATGAAAATGTAAAAAAATTAATCATGAAAACATTTAAATTAGAAAGCAGGCTCAGCTTACTAACATTCAAATTTATAGATGTTTCTTTCCAGGGGGACCTAGTGACAAGTTATCCATTAACCTGTTTTTAATGAATGAACCAAAATACTTGGAATCCCATTGTTGCTATGTCGGACAAGCCTTGGGAAAGCTTTCAAGTTTACTAACCATATTAGTAAACCGGCCTATTTACCAGTGACCTCTTGCTGAATCACATACCTGTACCTGTGCAGAATACATGTAGCTACAATGAAACTCTTATTTCAACAGAACAAGGAATGAATATCTCACTACTCTCACCATCAACTCTGTAATAAGGGCTAGTATGCCTTTAGAAAGGTAACTCACAATGACCTTGACATTTTTTTTCTGGGGCTTGTTTAACATACTATTAAAACAAGTAATGTATGCAGACTGCATCTGGATGATTGAAATACAATAAATTGAAGGAGTGCAAAAGTTCATCAATAGGCTGTTGGCTAAGAAGCATCCATGAATTTGAATACATTTGTTCACAAGTACAATAACAGAAACCCTGCATTTACCCTCATTTTTTTTCTCATTTAAATAATGATTAATCATTCCTGATGGATGCACAAGAGTGATTAAATCAAAGGGAACGATTCTCACAATAATTAGGGTGCGTTCAAGCGACACTTTTTCAACCTAGAAACACGGTTATCAAAGACGTTTAGTTTAAAACACGATTGCGTTCAAGCCATTTCAAGCGATTTTTTATGTGTTTAAAAATGCAAACATGAATGAAACGCTGAAAAAGATGCGTAATGTCGCAAAAAATCTCTTGAAAGAAAGGAGATCACAATCATGATTCTATGCATCATTATCGTGGCCTGCTTCCGGTTTGACTGACAGTCGACCATAAACACAGACAGAAAGAACGCGGTGAAGTTGACCTATACTTCCTGGGTCAAACTGCATAGTGTGATGAGCAGTGGCTGGGCTTGAAATGAGCAAGAATCAGCGCTGATGAAAAATCGCCTGAGCGCTCTCCCGCAGTAAACATGTTTTTAATGGCGTTTTGATTTGTGATTCGTGTTTGTGATTCTAGCTTTTTAAAAATGGCTTGAACGCACCCTAAGCCTGACCACCAGGGTGAATTGGTGAGAGCAGCGAAACCTACAGAAAAGTTCCAAATAGTTTACTCTGAACAGGTACCCATATCACTTGAGTGCAGCACAGAATATGAATCAATCAAGATTAATGCAAGATCGGGTTTTCTACACAAAAAGTTATCTCGACCAACAACAAAAAAAGAAGAAAAAAGACAATGCTGTATGCTACAAAAGTAGAAGATTGGTGGACTAGAGCTGTATTTGTGTGAATCTCTACAAGATGATGAAAGCAACGGCTGCGTAGTTAGCGCGATACATCTCACATTACAAAGCCTGAGGCAACCTCTCTTCTTGGTTCCTATAAATGACCTTTTCCACTGATTAAATTCACACTTTTCTTCGCATCAATGTATGCTGTATGCATGTGTGCATGAAAACCCGCAAGTTCAGGAAAGAAGCTAGCTACAATGTACATGTATGTGTACTTCAGGGTGTGAAGTAGAGGCATTTTTTTCCAGGAATATCGATCTGGAAAAATTCTAGAATATATTTTTGAAATAAATAACTGAAGGGCCGAGAGTGTATTATTCCCTTAAGCAAAAAAAATCTTTAAAATTAAGACAATGAATTGCCAATCAAACTTTTGAGCATTTAGTTTGGCTTTCAAGTAACCCTCCAAATAATGATCTAGACACTGCATGGCATTCACATACCAAAGCAGATGTTTGCCTCAGTTGGTTTACAGTTTGGGTACAAATGATCTTTATCTGCCCTTGCCAAGATTGTATCTACAATGTACATGTACACACTGTTCGATTAGACCATGGACCTATATAAGACAGAGTAAAGACTACACAGCTATAACTTCTACAGCAGTGTCAGCTAAGACCTCACTCATTGTATGTGCCATATAACACAGACAGTCAACAAAAATAACCAGCCTTTATGAACCAAACTATATAAATCAACTTCGGGTTTTCTCAATTGATGTTTTGCAGTATGCCCCATCATTCAATACCTTCCCAATGGCTATAATGGATCAAAGAGGGCAAACTATTAAAAGCTAATCTACATGTATAATTGTACATCAGCAAATAATTCATGCTGTTTTTGTATAACGACTTGAAATAATACATTGGTCTTCAATATTTTAAGCACATAATATGGGCTACCTTTAAATTGCTCAATTACGCTTAGTTCCTGAATCAAATCTTTACAAAGACAACACATGCAGCAAGTTTTGTGGCAGTTCATCTCAGTTTTCACAAGCTACAAATCGGTAGAGCGTGGGTGCTATGATAGTTGCTGAAGTCAGAACTAGTACGTGTTTACTTGTCGGGGCAAATTGCTGGCATTCTTGTGGTTGCACCAAGTACATTTTCATAGAGGCATGCCATGAATCCTCTACAGCACCATTCAAATGTGTAGCTTTGTAAACATGAATGTACTTTTCATTTTTTTGGCAGATTGTATATTTCAGCCATTTTCAGAAATTTGATCTGATAAAAGACAGAGAACAATAGAAAATGACACCATACCAACGTGTACATGTACATCTACACAATGGCTAGTCTCTTGGTTACTACATGCAACTCAATTGATGTTCAGAAAACTGTTCCACCAACATAGCATTGCCCCCATTCTTTGCATGTCTGCTGTATCTTTAACACAGATGCATTTTTTTTTTTTTGTGGGATCAGAGGGCCTCGATGATTGTGGTCACATTCACTGCTGTCAAAAATCTGCTACATGAACACATCTAAGTGAGTACCTCGACTTTTCCCTTTATAATTGCGAATCGGTGATACAATGAAGCCTGGGTAGCATTTTTGTTTAAAGGGATCGTTTAACAATGTTAAATCTGAGATACACGGCCCTACATGTTATCAGTGTCTGTGATAGGGTGTAATATTGAAGCCCTAAAAAAATTGCGCTTCAAAATGATCAAGAAGTGCCTCAAAAAAGTAAAAAATCTTTGAGTGACCGGTTTTACCATACTCGTTTTCCCCTATAGACTGTAGTGTTTTGAAAACCGTCAGGCGAACGGTTTTCAAAATTTGTCATTCCAATCATATTAAAGTATCTTGATAATCAGACAGGCGATCGGCTTGTAAAAGTCATGGGGGTCCTTACTGACCTAAAGGTTTATAATTATCATTGCATCATGAGCTAAATCCAGAATTTTGTTTCAGAATCTGAGACAAAGTTACCGGATCCCTTTAAAGTCTAAATTTGCTCACATCCCACTGAAACTTGCATTTTAAAATAAACACCCGTTTCAATTGGCTGTCCATAAACTTAGACAGAGGCTCTTCAGGGAGACGCTACTCATGTTTGTAGACAAAGGATTGACTGAACAGATATTGACATTAATCTTCAATTCACATACAAAACCACATGGCTGACTGTTAGCCTTGAAAAGCAATTTTGAAAATTGTTAACTAAGTGTTACTCTCAGGGACAAAATATTTGTTTTCTTTCGATTGGATTTCCCTGAATGGTACATGGACTAGAACCTTCATCATAACCTAACATACATACATGTAGAAATGAAGATACTAACATTTTATTATGAAAGCATCACGCTTTTTCATCATTTGCTTTTTCCCCAAACTTATTCCATTAATAATTTTGAATTCTATCAATGTGGCCCCAAAAATCATTTCCATCTTCAAAATGTGTAAAAAGGTAAATTAACATTATACAAACCTAAATATAGTTATTGACCGATACACTGTGAAGAGTTCCAGTGTACAGTACATGTAGCCGTTAAGTCTGTACATGTGGGTCTACATTATACACACCATAAAATGTCAGGGGTGATAGTGAGTACTAAACTAAAAAAATAGTTTTTTTTTCTTTGACCCCCCCCCCCTTCCCCCTTGAGTAAAAATTGTTAAAAAGAATTTTTTTGGGGGGAATGGCATCTAACCCCCCCCCCCCCCCCCTCCCCCCGATTTAAATCAAGTAATTATCAGGCCTGTAATAGATGGCCACCCAAATACACTGTTGACTGGATGAAAACTTGAACTAAACAACCCTGACAAATTATGCTATAATGCAACAACAAAAAATGACTATAAAAAAAAAACATACATTACAATAGAGTCCATTCAATACTTGATTTACAATGTTTGCATGCAATGAACTATTGCTACAATGCACACTGAATGTGAAAGGAGATCATCTGTAACCTTGAAAGCTGCTTATGACTAATGCAAATGACAATTTCTATTTCCTCATGTGTGTGTACATGTACCCTCATCTTTTGCTATATTTCTGCATATTTTTTTTCCTCCCTCTCTCCATGCATTTCCTGACTGCACAAATGCTTAATACTTGCTGTACAGTGTATCCAATATGCGTGGGTATATTACATTGTATACAGGTGTATCAATTTAACAAATGCTACCAGACATATTTGCATTGCTATTGAAATACACACGTACTTGTATTTGTAAAAGACAGAGACCCACAGGCAGATAAAACAGGTGTTAGTAATAAATTTTCTTCTTTTTTTTCTGGCAAAAATGAAAAACAAGACTTCTTTCAGATTTATAAAAGAAAAGATAAATTGGAAACATACTTTAGAAGGGAAAATATCCTGTTTCTCTCTTACACAAATGTTATTTGTTTTACCTACTCAAATACCCAGCCGCGTCATACCAAAAGACGTTAAAAGATGGGAGTTGTTGCTACCTTGTTTGGCGTTCAACAATAAGGGATAGAGCAACGTCGATCTGGCGCTGCTCAGTGGCTGCCGGGCTCACGATCAATTGGGCAAAAAGAATTTCCGTTTCGGTTTAATAAAATTTGGAGTGGACTATTAGGCTATTATTATTATTATTATTATTATTATTATTATACCAAGTACCAGAAAGATGTCAACTCTTTTAAAATGATTACAGTTTTCGGCTTGTACAGATTTCTGTTTATGATAATTATTAATATGATATGCTTACATTAAGGTCATATAAGAGCCTTCATGGAAATAAGGAAAATCAAATTGGTAAGTCAGACAAGCCTTCTGAGACAAGCAGAATAGTACTAAATGATGGTTCTAAGCATAGGTTCCTAAACTCTTATTCTATTTAATAGCACATTGCTTATGATGCAAACCAAATGCAAATGTATGTCCACTGGTTAATTTCATTTTGACAAATGAAATTGCTATAGCTCAAATATTCAACATCATATACTGTACAGGTATGAGCCCTACAGATCAGCTGCAGATGATTTTGCATCATACTCCAATTCAGACTAATGAATAATTAATAAGTAGGTTTTGTAATGCCATTAGTCCATTACACATCGGAGAAAAAGCCAACAATCTTCCCCAAAAATTATTTATAATCCCCACCCTGCCCGACATCTATAAATAACTCCCTGCATCCACCAACACCCCCCAACAGGCGTGTGTGTTTGTGTGTGTGCTCAGCTTGTATGTAAAGAGCTGGGGAAGACATACTGATTAGCATATTCACCCAACCCCCACACTCTTTTTTTTTCTTCTCCCCCTGCTTGTACTCCCGGCTCCTTCAGGCAGACTCCTACTACTGTTGTAGACATGTCTCATTTAAAATGCCTTTTTCCCCTGGGTGGAACGAGGTCAGCTCACTAGATGTCTCCCTCCCCACTACATCAAAGTCATGGAAAAGTGGAGATCAGTCGAGAATATTTGTCAGAGCTTTGCTCCTAGTCTCCACAATCACACAAGAAGATCTCTACTGCCATGCAAGCTTCTTTAATCTTATCTTACCATACATGTACATGTGGAATAACGTGCATCTAATATTGAGGGCAAGGCGGCAAGTGAAAATTGGGGAAGAAGAAGTAAAGGATGGTGTTGAGTGACTTCTATTGGATTTACACATCCACAACAAAATGACCATAGATAGAAACAGGACAAATTACCTCTAGGCTTCTTTAATTTTACTTTATTATTAATACTTTGGGAGATGAGAGTGACAAGGACAAAACTTCCATCATTTTGAGAATGGTTAATGCACTCTTGGCTCTCAACAGATATGAACATCAGTACACAACATAAACTGCATTGTAATTTTCACAAAGTAGGAAGGCCATCACAAACTTCAACATATTTTCTTCTTCTTTTTGTTTTCTTTTGTTGGGGGAAGGCTGGTTATTAAAATGAATATTTTAAAAAAATAATAAAAAAGTCACTCCTTCATCTCTTTCTAACTCCTCCCCAAGTTCAAACAAAAGCAATTAGTTCTGATATTTGAATATTTTAAATTCTTCGAATAAAGATCAAGCAACAGGATGGAAAATCTTTTCCAGGACAAAAACAGTACACTTTCCTTTTAATAGATTTTCTCTCTAGTTCAGAGATGACTGGCTGAATAAAAAACAATTTTAACACACCAAGGAATTCCATCCTTTGCTGACAATCAAGAATGTTTCTAGCACATTCAGTCGGAGAATGCTAAAAAAAGGCCTGTATACAGAGACTAGCGTAATGCTGCCATTTAGCAAGTACTGCACGCTGCTTCTGCCTGCGCACTCATTAAATAGGCAAAGCGGGGCTCGGATTACACTTCTACCCACTTACAAGTGTGGAACAGTGCAGTGCAAGCGAGCATAGATCATACATGTGGTAACGACGATGGGGTCACGGTTCAACTACAACCACAAAACCAGGGGCACAGACGGCTCTTCAACATTACCAGAATTTTAATCCTGAGAGATATTCAGATTCTACGTAACAACGATATAAAAAAAGTGTTATCATGTGTTGAATTTGTATGATTGTTGACACAATATATGACAATATACCATTATGCCAATTGATAGAACATTCCTACTGTAGTTTAATATTTCCTTTGTACAAGTAGAGGTTAAACGCTTTATAAACAATAGAATAACTTGTGCAAATACAAAAGCCACTGATGAGGCTAAAGTACATGAAGTGGGCCTATAGGCCTACATAATAGTTGAGGCAAATATGCCTAGCACTTGATCGAATATACTTATAAGAAGGCTTATAATCTTCATCTATGATCCATGTATACCCCCCCCCCCCACCTCCTATGTAATTCACCTCCTATGTAATTCAATTTTGTAACATACGTACATTGTACTGTTCAACCCTCATTTTCCTGTATGTGCATCAGAGCCATGGATATTCAGGCCTCGAGACAAAAATGAGGCACTTGCAGATTTCATTATTTGCTGTAAGCTAATTGATACTGGATCTATAACAAATACGTATACATGTATGGAATTGACTACTCTGATCTCGATCATATAATGCGAAAAGAAGATTGTATTCAAAATTCTAGTTCATGTCGGCCTCAATGTACATTTGTATGTACAGTACATGTATTAAAAATAACAATAAAACTTTTTTTGTTCAGCGCATAATGCAATGTAAAGGTGTAAGTCCTCAAATTTACATCGTACCAAATGAGTTTTTTTTTTAAACTGTCTTGCTGTTCCACTCTTAAAACAGAAGCCCTACACAAAAGTATATTTCTTTTTCACATGTTTGTAATTCATTAACTGAACAGGTTTGCTCAATCACAGCTTATATCAACATGCATGCCTAAAAATGAAAAATTGAATCTTTCATGTACATCAAGTACCCGTACATTATTGTGTATCCACAGATAGACTACACAGTCTGACTTTCAGCAGAGCTACAACACTATGCCATTCCAAACACTCTACCAGCTGTTGCACAAATGAATAATTACATGAGAACGATCCCTCATCTACGGCTGTTCACACATGCATCTTTTTTCCACATGTACGCACAATCCCAACGGAAAAGAAACCGGACAAATTTTGCCAGATGTTTGCAAAAAACAATGATGCTAAATGGTGTATCTAATGAAAGAAGCTAACAAGTAAAAAAAGGTTGAAAATGGTAAAAATTAATCTGTGGAAGATTAGAAATTGTTGACAATTTTGCATTCATTTCTGAACAACCCCTACCCCACCATTTAGCAGGTTGATATCAGGCAGATCACATCTCTTTTGTCTAGGGCCACATCAATCACAAAATGTAAATCCATTTATTTTTTTTACCGCAGAAGCTAAATTCATTGTGCATACATTAACATACTCTTCCATCCTGCCTAATGTAAAATGCTTCAATTATGGAGAGCATGCGCTGTACAGTGTGTTTTTTTAAAAAGTCTACAGGTCTAACTTTGGTAGCTCATAATTGGAATTTCATAATTCATGTGACCTTGAATTTTTGTCACGTTACGGAATAACTTGTTTATATCCGATGCCCTAATCACAATTTTTCTGCTATGGATGACTGAGCACCAGGTTTGTTTTAAAAGTGCCCTAAAAACATCCTTGTATCAAGTTTTGGCTGATGCACCAAATGTTGTTGAGGCCATATGCATGTGTTACTACTTACATGTAGGTCTCATGTAAGGGTTGGGGTTAGGCTTAGGTTAGATACAGTGTTGGGTTCAGAGTTGAAGTAAAGAATTTGGACAGCGAAGGAAATTGACACAGAACAATTGTTGCAGGATCATTTGTGTTGTACGTGTACGACCACTGTGGCCATGCACACAAGTCTCAAAATTATTGGTTTCCTGAAAAGAAAAAAAAGGATTCTCTGAGAAAGAATCAAGGCTTACCTGAGGTTTTCTCCTGGAATAGGATAGCTGGCGAATGGCTTCACAAACCATCTCCCTAACCGGACATAGCCACCACTTAGTAGACATCTGTTTCGAGCAAGAGCAGAAAGATTTAAATTGCCATTATTTTACTTTAAAAAGGGAATAATGTACATTCAGTAAAAAGTTTTTTTGCATATTATATTGGACAATTAGATTTTTAAACCCTTGGTTGCTTGCTTTTCACTTTCATACTCGGGACTTTTTTAAACTTTATTTTAAAACAATTTATGATATTATAATTTCATAGCTTTGTATAAAAAATGTATTCATCAGATAAATATCCCCATTATCATTACCACCTGTATATTTACGTTCACAAGTACATTTATAATGTATTCATATATACAAAAATAATAAGCAAATGCTATTATTATTATTGCTCTGGATTATGACTTGTTTTTAACTTCTTCCAAAATTATACAGTGTACATGTATACCACAAATACAACCCTGCCTCAACTACTAACACCTCTGTGAAGTATCCTACTGGTTCGTGCGTAGCACAATAAGGGTGTAATGCTGTGGAGTGATACAGCATGAAAGTAGATCAGGCATGGAACTGCTGATGGGGTCACTAAGGTCGTGACCTCCCCAATGGGTGCTCGGTGACCTCTCCTACCAGGTGACATCCAACCAGGGAGGAAGGAGCACAAATGCAAACTTCGACCACGTTCCTTTTATCAATCCTAAGTCTTTCTTGTGAGGCTATGATTGTTTGGACTTGGACGGTGTTAGAATTTTAAATGGTAGAAATATTCTTAAACTTTATTTCCTTATTGCTAATGGGGGATTATACAGTGGGATATACAATTTGGGAAACTTGAAAAAAGAAAGAAATAGTATGAGACAATTAAAAATAAAAACCTGCACTGGTAATTTCAGTGAAATAAATAATGTGAGGCAATGATGTAGAATTAGGGAAATTAGAAAGTGGAGAAAAAAGGAGTGGAGAAAAAAGGAGAGGAAAATCAAAAAGGAGAGGAAAATCAAAAAGGAGGAAGAAACATCATACACAAAAAATATGAATTAAGGCATTTTCAAGTAGAGCAAAGTAGGACGAAATAGAGCAACTCAGGTCAATGAAGGAGAATTTTTTTTTTAAAGCAAAAAGGAATACAGACAGCACAGTTGAAGGAAAGGTTATATTTTATATAAAGATGACAGAAATGCACTTTTGTAGCAAATGCTTCAAATATATCCAGTTTTCTTTTTCTACTGGGAGGGTCATTTTGATTGCCTGTAATAGCATAATTTGCATTACCTTGTACACGTTTTGGTGCATAGGGTAGTCAAAGCATAAACACAACCAAAGAACAATAATTGTGCATTTAAAATATTCATGATGAAAACAAAAAGGTAAGATAAGAAGAAGACAAATTAGATGTGATTAGTTACCTTTCTATGGAATTGTGGAAGGATTTGAAGAGTAATGTCCGACATTCATAGGACATGCAGTTATCCCATACACCCTGGGCCTGGACAGCATCTGAAAAGAACAAGGGAAATGTAAGTTACAAAACAAGAAACTTACATTAACAAATATTTCTCAAACAATACCAATGCTTCCTCACAATTCCCCCTCCCCCCCCCCCAAAAAAAATGTACATTTTAATCTGTTTGCAGCCGCTGGGGTGTTAACTCTGTGTAAAATACACGATTCCGACCCTTCAGGGTCTAAATACATGTTGATGATTTCATTGAAATTAATGTATTAAATTTTCATACATGCCTCAGCTATAATAGTAACTAAATGCAAATAAAAACTCTACCGTTCTGTAATATATTTGCCTGACAAATTTTTTGTCAGAGTTGCATGGTTTACTTGTACATGTTTATATGAGATTCAGTGTATTTTGTGTTTTTTAATATTTATTTTTTTTAAATAATTTTTTAATTTTTTTTTTTAATGACAGATGAAAAATCGTATTTTTAAGAGGCGATTTAGTATAATCGCATTTCAATCCTATTACCGTAACAAAAAAGACATATGCATATTCCACCAAAGAGGAACCTGTGAACTACATGTACTTTGTAGTCTGTTCTTCTCCACACAACAAAAACAGCATACACTGTATGGCATTACATACATGTAGGAAACAAAAGCAAGCAAAAAAAAAAGAGATAAAATTAGAATACATTTGAGCTTAATTTGAGTTGTCAATACTATGTTCAAATAAATGCACTGTTTTATATAGCAATGAAAGCAAAAACAGAATATAACTTTTGTAAACAAACAAAAACAACAATAGTGACAAAATAGCATTCATAATCCACTTTTAACACCACCATTTATGAACAGGATTAGTTTGAGGTACATGTACCAGAACACTTGTGATTTACATGTAGCTAACCCTCTTTGGTAATTTCAAAAAAGTGATACAATCTCCCCTGAAGGTCACATATCCATAGCAGTGTGACCTCGAGAAGGTCACGTGAGGTCACGAACCACCTTCCTCTGCATTCCATTGATACCACCCTGTGGAATCCAGCAGAGTTAGCTCAATAGCTCTGATTCCCACAAACCCTGCTACCAATAAACACATCTTTTGGTACAACACAAAGTGCACGGATCAAGCTTTCAGGTACTACACTACAAAACATGTACATGTAGTCATGAAGGCTTTTATTAATATAGAGTGCATGAATGTACAATTGAAATGCCCATACGTATAGGCCTAGTGATTATAACTTTCAAAAATTCATAACTTTCTTATAATTAGTCAGATTTGACTACTCTTGATTTTTCTGGTTTCTTTTAGATTGGTTGTCTATTTGGGTAGGATTTCCCTTTAAGCAAACTCCTTTTTTGTTCACAGACAAATAGACACCAATACATGCACCTAACATTTAATTGTTTCTTTTAAAACATGTGAAGGGTACCATTTACAGGTAGATTGTGTAGCAGAATATAAGCCTCTTTCCTAATAAAGACTGGGACAACCATTAAATGGTTCATCGCTTACTGACAAAGGCCAAGGGGGTCTGGCACAGGCTCTGTTCTTATTGTTCCCTGCTATTATGCACTGTTCACAGTCAATAGACTTTCCTGGGCCTTTTCATTTCATTCCCCATGTGCTATACACATGTAGTGTAAGACTAGGGTGTTATATTTTAAAACATAATGGGGTATGTCTGTGAGTGAAGGTCTACTGACTTGTGTACATTGATAAATTCCATTACTGCGTACTGTGTGTGTGTGCATGATTGTGTATAGAGTGTCAATAGTTTGGTAATCAAGATATTGGGAAGGGATACATGTAGATCTTATAAGTGTCTGTGGATCTTTTGCAGGCATGTAAAGTACATGTAAATGATCTCTTTAGACCATAATACAGCTTTAGCAGTGACAGGTTAATAGTCCTGGGGTGTTTCACAAAGATCCTTAGTCAACCTTAAACATTATGGAGATCCATTTGTAGCCCTATAATAAAATATATTCAAAAGCAAAAATTCAAGTAATTTAGACTTTTCATAAATTCCAAATAAAGAACATGAAATCTCCTTGATGATAGAAAATATGAATGGCTTGAATCAACATTTTATGCCTTTTAAAATAACTTTTACAAAATATTTTCAAAGATGCTAATGGCTTTCCATAATTGTGAAGTGGAACTTAGGATCTTGGTGAAGGTGAAACACCCCCAGGACTACTGGTTGTCATACTGCTGTAACTGCATAAATCCCACTGTTTCTTTGAAATGCTAGAGCGCGCAATGGCAGCACAGCTAAAGCCGGGGTAATAATCTCCAAGTTTGGAAGCGCTTAGTGATTCTAATAAGCGCTATATAAAAACCGAGTATTATTATTATTATTATCATTATTATTATTAAAAATATGTACATGGTATGTACATGTGTACCTGCCAGATTGTACAGGAGTCAAGATTAAAAAGTACTTACACAACTGATATTAAAATAAATATGCCTCTTTTGCAACACACTGTATGCTACTGCGAGTATGATAGAAGTTAATCACTTTCGTAAATACAATATTTAATTTAGGCCAAAAATATTCTCTTACAAATAGAATTTCAAACTGTCTCTTGCTAGGGCATGCACGAACATAAATAATTTACATGTACATATAATTCTGAAACAACAAAAAGTACCGGTACCTTTACAAAAATATTTGTTAAACATCAAAGCTGCCGTTGAATAATTAATAATACCGACTTACTGTCTATTTCATTATATATCAAAGCAGTAATTCTGACCCAATATGATTTGATGTTATTTTGTTATCACTACTCAACATGGCCTTTGAGTCTCTGTGCATACACTGATGAAGAAACGTGTGACGTCTAAGTCGGGCTCCAAGCAGTGAAACTGTAAGCTACATGTACATGTACAAGCTAGGGGTTTGGTTTGTATTGCTATTACATGTGGAGGAAGGCCGGGAAAAAGAGAGGGTTACAAGCCGGAGAATTGATTCGCTGGAAGCCAAAATAGCTTGCAAGTCAATCACTTACGAGCGAATGACAATTTTAGAGGAATGGCACCAAAGGGTCCCGGGGCAAAAGGCTGGCAGTCTCCACATGACTCAGAGTTTATGCTACAATTCACATTCCTATTATTTCTGATAGATGCATTATTGCTCTTCTGGTAATTCATCCACACTCGCGCAGAACAGTGACGGCATGCCGGTGTACAATTGAAATTGCTTTGCATATAACATATCTGATTAATTTGGGGAATATTCTAGATGTGCAGAGGATATGTACATGTATGATTGACTTACTGCTGCTCTGAAATAATTGATCCACATTCACAAGGTACAAGGAAGGCAGTGATACTTCAAGTTCAACTACATAATGACACTGTGTGCAACATGAAACCTTTACAAATTCAGTACAAAAGAGGTTAGATATAAAAGTCACCAAAGAGTATATTTATGTGCAATGTACTGTAGTCTACACATCAACATGTAAACAGTATATTAAACTTAAAAAGAAAATAAATGTCTAAATATATGTCATTCATTGCATAGAATGAAAATACTACAAAACTGTAATTTTGAATTGTCCTCTTGTCATATTTGTCCAAAAACCAAAAAAGCATACCCCAGATTTAGCAGCACTTTTATCTATTCTTCTAAGAGCTTAGAATTATCGCTGTCATTCTCCACATTCCAGTAAATTCACACCATCGCAATCAATGCATCAAGTACAACACACACACACACAAGCACAGAGTCAATACACACTCACGCATGCCTGCATCTCTCACACATGTGAATGTGAACTTGCACACACAGCTCACGAGCATACACTCCACTCCGTACATGTACAATACATGTAGGTCTGTCATTATAAGAGCCATGGCAAGCTGCGGATTGTGCCCAGCTTGGCGGAGGAGGCCGTTGTCTAGCTAGCTTGTGCGGAGTGACAAATGAAGTGAAGATGGTCATTATTGAAGTACTTTTTCTCTGCATCAACACGCAGCTGCCCTTGGACTCTATTGAATACTATGGCAACATTAGCTCGCAGCCCTGTTACATGTACATGTACAGTGCATGTTCTCTACACTTTATATCAAGGTGTCTAAAGGCAAGCCTCACACACAAATCACATCCGCTTTTCTTTTTCTCTCTAAAATTACAAATCATTGTAATTAAAATGGAGGCAAAACACTCTTCGGTTCAATTCATATTCAGGAGGGGAGGCACTTGAATTATTGACTTCTATGAAACAACTTTCAAGAACACAGGGACAATTTACTGTACAACTTGTAGATCTTCTTTACAAAGTCATTTTTTTTAAATCATAAGATAAATCAACAATCACCCCCCCCCCCTTACTTTCGTAGCAAAATGTATATATTTTTTTTTTAAAGAGGGGCTAATTGGAAGGTTTCATGGGCTACATGAGAAGCTCTGGCAAGTGGCAGTCTGGGGCAAAAAAGCCCAAATTCCAGTCATTATAATTTTGACTAATTTCCTATATTGCAATGGATTTATTAAAGATAATGTCAAACGTTTTTTTATCAAATTGTACACTGTAAGTACATTGCATACAAGAACATGTACAGACAATATTGTATTAGTTTACGTTTAGTTTATGTTGGTTCCCAAGCCGGCCATCTCTAATGACCGAGTCCTAGAATTGAGGAGCCCTCGCTCGCTCGCTAGCCAACTGATAGCATAGAGTCATCACGACTACTGCATGATGTCAGAAATCTGGTTGGCATGGCAACATGTACAGTTCAATCTCCTATGTAGTAAATCAAAGAGAGTGGCCGGACGGAGCACGGTGCAGAGAGGAGAGGAGAAGAGCTCGGAGAATGAGAACTGGGGTAATCTACCCGAGCTACACCCCGGGGTGATTTTCAGTTGCAGCAGCAAAATAGGAAGGGCGGATAAAATAAAAAAGGACGGGTAGTAAGTCGAAGAGTAGAAAAGTCTACACATGTTCTCTTCGTAGGGGCCCAGATCACTATCTAAAATGCGTTTACAGGCATGTAGGATACAATCACGTGGGCAGATTTGACAGGAAGCAATAACACTTTCTATTTTTAGTCTCGACTGGCTGATGACGTCTTTTTTTCTTCTCATGCAGGCAAAAGGTAGTTGTAGGGATAAAAACCTGTTTGACTGCAAATCCTAAAGAGATTTGCAATCCTATTAGTATTCACAGAGTACATACTGTAGGAACCAAACGGGTAAACACTCCAGACAACTCCAATAGTCACAACACTGCACATGTACTGCATACAATTTACTGCATACAATGATAGAACGTCAACATGATGTACATGTACATGTAATAGATGACAAGAGCACAACATCATTATTTAGAGTTTTAGACTACATGTACTTTCACTTTTAAAAGTATACATTTGTTACGGGGAAGGTTTGTTTTTAAACTTTTGACTATGAAAGGAATGTTATACAAATCTAATTTAATTTTTTCTAGTAAAAAAATAGGGGAAAACTATTTTACAGACTTGATTAATCATTAATGCAGGGTTCCATACAATTTTTTTTAAAGGGGTATATGTATCGGTTTGAGGGGGGGGGGGATAGTCTGTAATCTGTATGCATGAGCCCTATGTAAACAAAAATGGTTTAGATTTCAATTTTTGGGACCCCAGTGTTGAGCCATGCTTGATACAGTGATCCATTCTAAATTTATTTTTCAATAAAGGTCCAGATTAGAATATGTGTAGGTAGCTCTATGACAAACCTTTTAACACTATAGATAAATCTTGGACTAGAAACAGTAAAACTATTTTGAAGCCTTTGGTAGCTATCCTATTACATAAATACAATGTGGCACAGGGAGATTATTTGCATGGCGTATTAAGAGATAAAGTCGCAGGCCAATTCTAAGATTGGGTTCCAAGGCAGTGATGGCACCTTAATTTATTGGTTCCCTGCTTGTGTTGTATATCACGTACTTTCAAAACTCAGAGTGTGTGTGAGTCAATCAACTAATTTTGGCCAGCGCCTGCCTTCGTCTCCCCTCCATATTTCCTGGCAAACGTCTGCCCCCGGCCTTGATCTGGAGTAGTGTGTTGAAGGATAGCTCGGGAGTGCATGCCTTGCAATTAACACATCTTGCGCTCTTCCCCTTCCAAGCTCAAAATCAAATGGTGCGTGTCTGTCTCGCACGGCAATGATCCTGTTTAGGCTTGTATTATAAGCCTGAAACACGGCACAACACATGTGCACATACAGGTACAGGAGACTGGAGAAATTATTGGAATGTTGTCTGCATTGGACAACTCTTCATATTAAAGAGCATGTAAGTGTATTCATAATTCCAATAAAATAGTTCATGGTACAAGAGAAAATAATCCCTCAAACTTGAGGCATTTTTAATAAATTCTTCATTACTGTTTTGATAAGCCAAGGCAATTTCCCCAAAATATGTCTAGTCTACATGTAAATAATAGGTCACACGTAGTTGGGTAAATTGTATCTAGCGCTTCTGTCTTTCCTGCCTGAGCTGCCAAGTTCCCCGAGTTCCCTGAATGCCTTTCAACATCGCAGAAAACAAACAATCAGTGACTTCTGACCCTCGAGCCAACATCAAGGTCAGCCGGCACAGCAGGGCTCTGTGTGCATGGTGCAGTATACATGCCATGCACTCCAACACAGAATGAACGTGCCTCCCTCTATCCCCGTTCATCAGGTGTACATTGATTGTACACAATAGCTAGGTAATCATTCCACACTATGGAGGATATGTCAATAGGATGCAACCATGCGTATCATTCACACTCTATTCAGTCCTATTGTCAACTGTTGACTATAATCAGTTTATACTGTATATCGTCATGTACATTGTACATGTACACAGACTGGGGAGCATGCTGAATTGAAAGCGGTGCACTACTCTTTCAACACACAGCAAGGAATTCCCCATGCATGTTGCAATATTAATATTTTTGACGTGGGAGTATATTCTTTTGATGACATGTGATACACATCACGTGTGATTTGAACAACACTAAATGATCATACATTACATATAGACCTACATTGTATATAATTTTCAGGACGACATTTACATGTACATTTAGGCCACATACAGTGTTTCTAGTTAATAAAGTACAAAGACCATAAACATCTTATAAATGATATGTAATAATTGGCCTTTACCTTAAAAATGTCATAAATATACACAATTCAACAATAAAATTGAATTAATTAATTGTTAGATGTGAATTTTACTTGGAAGAAAAAAGTTAAGACATGTATGTCATTAAAAACAAATTTACTTCTTGGTTATAACATAACTTACATGTAACTACAATTTTAAATTATTTCTACTGTACACTGTAGTTCAAATGAAATTTAATTCCTTTTATTGAAAAATCAATTAATTTTAACCTGACTACACTTTGAAAAAATTTCATGAAATGTTCAGGGATAGTTTCTTCTTGCATAAACAGTGTATATTCAAAATCAATGTTTTAACTACAACCGTGTCAAAATGTGAAACGGTACCTTTAAGCCAGATGCAATGATGCTGGCATCTGAGTTTGGCCCTACTACATTTACATGCTTAGTACCCAAGCTTATTCAGCGTGTCTTATTTATGCATGGCTCTCTCCAAGAAAATGATACTACATGTTCATGTATTAGTCCGACGAATGGAGGCAGTATGCGCAGTGATTAAGGTGCCAAGCCGGTGAGCGCTTCGCTCCTTCCCTCGGGCAGAAGCCTGCACTGGGGCAATACATGCATTATTGATAGAGAGCTTGAAGCACCATCCAAGAGGTGTTTAAATGGATAAATGTGATGACAAGGGGACCAAGGTATTAATGGGCTCTTATGCATGCATCAGCTGACTTGTTAACACACTCAAGTATAGATTGCAGATGATGAGACTCCTTCAAATATTTACAATAATTATGCACAATCCTTCTCAAACTTTCATGAAGACATCTACAGTAGCTTTTCATTTCATTCTACATGTTAATGTATGTACATCTGTAGACATGTACAAGATACCTGATTCGTGGGATAACAAATATAGTGGCCAGTGGGTCACCAATAAATGTTGCATTTAGTTGGCCTACAAAACATTTTTATAAATGGCCCACTTAAGGCGCAGTGTGACTTTTACTGTAATGATGTCGGAGTAAATTTTAAAATTGGCTGAACTACTAAACAACATAATTTTTTCTTTGACTGTCAAAGCACTGTTGTTGTTTTTTAAACAAATAGCAGGCCTTTTACATCTTCACTTCACTACACTGAACACAAAGGCCAGGCCCCCATTGTTGGTGATATCGATGTAACTTTTTAATAGTAATCCATACTCTTAAAAATTCTGAAAACAAAATTATCGATTAATTAACTGAGACAATAAGATGTTACATGAACTTGATGTATCAAGAATATTTGATGGTTCATGTAGCTGATAAGCCAAATGATACGTTTATTATCCACAAGTTATTAAGTTGATAACTTAAATCATCAAGCCTGTACATTTTGGTTATCCCTATTTCACAAACATTTCCTTTAATTATGCTTTTCACAAAGGAGTCTCAATGGAATTATTCACTCATTTCATTATATCTTACATTGTCGTTTACCTCAGCAACTACAAGAACAAATGGACGATGATTGTTTACAAAACCAGACCATACCACTGAGCACTGTGGTCACTTCTTGACCATACCTTTACCAGGATATCTCACATTTATAATCTCAGTGGCTACAGTGCCACAGGTAACTATAGGAGTTCTGACCGGATTCATTGGTGGTAGGCGGAGCTATTGGCTACTGCCTGCACATGATAACAACACATGGAATTCCATCTCAGACAGAGGATGATTTTTTACAGCAGCTCAGCTGTCATGCAGGATTTGTGCGGCAGAGTGGAGTGTTGGATACAGAGGTCAAGTGACTCAAGCTTGCACCCTCTCCATCACTCTCAATTATTCACCCTCATACAAACACGTTGGAGGAATTTTGTGGCATCTAGAATTGTCACCCAGTGCGCAGGAACATACCCAAATTATCATTTCCTCTTTCAATAGGAGCAATGCATTTGATCTAAAATAACTAATCAACAGGAAAACCATGTTTCTATCCAATTGCTTCGAGGCACTATTTGTCATTTTCAGATTCAAAACAAAATTCCAAGTGGTTGAAATACAAATAAATGCAGTAAAACGAAACAATCCCGGTAAGTTTAATTTGGTTTGGTTTTTAGCAAAAAATTAATTGGTAACTTTCTTCTTTCTTATCTTCTTCTTTCCTTCTTTAATAAAGAAATGACTGGTAAGATTTAATTGCTGACAAATGTGTCAAGAGTCTGTAGCTTCCAGTTCAAGCTCTAAGAGGCTATTACAGTCGTTCAAAGTGAGTGATGGAACTGCCACTGCTGTTGAAGAGAGTGAGAAATCAACAAGCTATCGATGAGAATCACCTCATCCTACATATCTTACCTTGTATCTCTGGTGCGATTAAGTCCTCGAAGTTGGGCTCATCTCCGTACCAATAAATCCACAATTCTTTACTCTGTATCTGTGTTTCAGAGCCGGCAAAAAGGTCGGCCCTCACAGTATTGTGGCACCGCCATACACTCAGAATGTTTGCCTTGATGCATTTTGCATAAGACTGCAGAACAGGGTCCTCCAGCGGCGCTACCGGCTCTGTGGGGCGGATCCAACTATAGTGTCGCCATCTTATCCCAGACAAGTCGGCCTGAAAGAGCAAAATAGAGCAAAACTACATTCTTATACACTGGAATGGACCTATTGTATTAAGGAACAAACTTTTTGCAGTGGTGTACTGATGAACTATGGGAGGGCATTACAAGACATTGTCTTACTAAGGAGCCCGAAAAGACAGGTGAATACAGGTGAATACAGGTGAATATTTTCATGAGTACATTCCATGAATGTAATTATAGGACAACATTGGGTTTGGTATCTGCACAATGTACATGTAAAAATGGACTTAAAGATAAAGTTGGGTTCTGGTCATGCCACTACATTGTGAAAAAAAAGGTGTGGAATGGATCAGAAAAAGTTGATCATGTAGCATGTACATGTACATGTAAAGTATTGGTGTGTACTGCAAGGTTCTGGAGTCATCAAAATCATAATAAATTTGGCCCAGTCTTGGTAAAGTAACAAGCACTGTATACAGAAAGATGTATGGGACTACACAAATGGTGTCGGGGCTACCTACCTTGATTTCCTTATTGTTCTATGCTAATACTCAGCCAGTATACATTTTCTACCAAAATTGTTTGGCAAATGACATTTACTTGTAATCTTGAACATTCAGTGTAAGTTTCGTTTGATTCTGTGAGAATCCATTTCCTTTTTTACCAGAACTCAAATTTATCTTAAACTACTGCAGATAACAACAAAAATAAATGAATAAAACTAAATAATCAACTGGAACCCTTGTACAGTTGTAGTTGGCAAACTTTAAATCAAACATATTTTACAGTGTGACATTGCATTGTGGCTAAAGAACATTTCTTTTGTGAAATTTCTTTTCAAAAAATAATTAAGACAATCTCATAGATCGAAAAAAGGACATCGACGTTAACACAATTTTTTTTTCTTGCCTATTTGAGGGTACAGTAATTTTCCTATCGAGTATGGACTACAATGTACAATGTACGTGTACAGTAGTCAGTACATGTAATATGTGATATACAATTTATATCAGCAGTGCGGCATATTCAATTATTTTTTCATGAGAAAAAAAGACAAAGACAATTGGTAAGAACTAAGATTGTTAACTCTCATAGATTTTCCATTGTTACTAAATGTTCAATAGAAGACGATCAAAATTGATTAAAGATAACAAAATTGAGGAAAAAAAGAAAGAAGCTACACTGTACATTGTAAATCTAGATTTACATGCAAGTCTACATTTAATGTAATGATAATAAATGTTCTTCTACAATATAGCCATGAGCCTATCTTTGCAAGCTAACAAAATAGTTTAAAGCATAAAGTGATGAATAAATCCACTCATCTGACTTAAAAACTTGGTCACAGAAAACAGAGAAGAAATTAAAAATGCTCTGAATTGAAGTCAAACCAGGGATTCTCAATTAAAACAAATTAAATAATAATAAAAAGTAAGAAATATGCAACCAGCCTAATGAATGAAGACATAACAATCCCTAGACCTCTACAATGTTTGAGATGAGAATCTAGCAAGTCTACAAAACACTGCCCAATGTGTATGACCTATGCTTTCAAGTTGAGCTGCTGAATGAAAAGTGTTTTGACCCCCAGCGGCACCACATTGCGACTGCACAAGTGACCCGTGTTGACATGATACGGGAGACACACAGACCGGTGTGTGCGGCTTTCTCTCCATAATGGCCTATGCTTTGATTAGCATGGCGACTGGTACTCGCGTGCGAGGCCGCAACTCCCCGACAAGTTCGGCCGGAGCTAGGCGTGCAAATCACTACATGTAAATCGACATAATTCTACAGAAAACGATATCTACCACATGTACTGAAAGTGAATGGTGTTGTACTCATATCTGACAATGACATATATTACATTCCGATATTCTCCTTAGTCTTATCATCATGATTAATTGAGAAAAGCCACATTTCGCAGCAAAAGTAGACTTTAAATTCGTGACACTTCGTTCGCATTATTTCTACGCAGTAGTCTACGTGACCGACTTACCACGGCGAACAAGTTGGTGTAGCAATCTTCCAAACTGGCCCCATTCGCCGCTGAATTTGCTCCGCTCATACTACAGGCATGACATAACTATAATCCATATGCTCTTGGTTATCCGATCGCGAAAAAATGTTAAATTCCAGTGACAAATTCCACAATTAATAGTTCAGTAAACATAAATGATCCGGAGGCCGTATAGGCTAGCGTAATGGCGACACTGTGTAGAGTAAAATACTAGGCGGTAATAACCTTTTGATTGATTGGTCATTTTGCGTCACGTGGTCCTGTTTATTCAAATATGTCTCTTCCTGCACCGTGTTCGCGTATAGGGAACAGCTGTGAAGTGCGATTGTTAACATGATTTAAATGTGACTTGGGGGTTATTTAAACATCGTAACAGTCCTTAGGTTACAACTAGAGTTAATATTGTTTCATGGTGCAGTATATGTTGAATGAAATCTCAAGCATAGGTCAAAATAACCATGAAAAGTAACTTTACGCGAAGCTGTTTACAAGTTGCATATCAATATTACTCTCAAACCAGTCTACTACAAAAAAAATCGGGCAAGTCCAACTTTTACCTGATCTACTGTCATTTGATTGTTTTGATTCTATTTTTAGTTACCAACGAAATACAATTGCGAATTATACAAAGTCTGGTTCTTTTACAATAATTTTATTAAAACTAGATAGAGAAGGAATGGAGCACAAGGCGTTGACTAGATAGACACGACTTGTCATTATGCTGATACTGAAAACACCTCCCTGGTTAACTTAATCAATAATTAGGTCTACGTACACATAACTAGAACTACTCGGACCACCTTTCTAATTGTATAGGGCTACCATGAATATCTTTTGTGTATATCCTGGAGATATAGGTTTTTTTTGTAGAGTGCTGCAGTAATGTTCCTCAAATAAATATAAACAATTATATACAAACCGTTTTTGTTTTTACTGCTTATTTTCGTGAGTAACATTTCCATATTCTAATATAAGTCTTTTTGTGATGTCTTTAATTGAAATTTATTGGCAAAACTACCTTAGGCAATATGCCGCATCAATATAAATATATATATATCATACAGGCATCTAAGATCTATGTTTTTGCAAAATGGCTTGAACGGATAGTTTAATTGGAAATGCTACGTAGGTCTAGTCCTACATAGTTTGGCGCACTGCTTTCTTTCTTTCTTTTTAAGGGTGATGGGGGGGGGGGGGGCAGGCTTACTTGCAATTGAAATTAACAGTATAACAGTTTAGTTAATTTTGTTGGTTCAAAATATGCAAACTTGAAGTCTGCATGGTATGTCAGTTGAGTTTAAGTTGGAATACTTTCTGAAGCCAAAACGAAATCCAATAATATAGGCCAGGCTGGTCGTATCTTAACACTGATTCTTTTAACAAATGTTTTATCTCATTTGTGTATACGCATATTAAATTCGTTTTGTTAAACATACCGAAAATTGCTTTTTACCACTTTTTAAAGACTGTACCTAGGTTCACAATCCCGGTTCATCATGATGACAGGCTGGTAAAGTTTTCATCACCGTTTTCATCAAAGGGAAGCTCACAGGCAACGACGATAGATGTGCTACTTTCCACAAGATGGCGCTATACAACAATTACAGATGAGTTAACCATTTGATCCACACGTTGGTCGCGCGCTGTCAATGAAAAAAGCTTAGATTAAACTTGAAAATGATTTTGGAACTAGTGATTAGCCCAAAGTGCTAATAAAGAGTGGTGTATCGAGGTTATGTGGCGCCCGGGAAAACAATTAATATGCACTCTCGTAACTCTACGAGTGAGAAAAGCGAAAAAGCGTTACGCCCCCCCCCCCCCCCCCATTTTAAACAATTCGTATGCATTTTAATTTTATTGATAGAAGAAAAACAAATCGGGGGGGGGGCTGAGGCCTCTTGCTTGAAAAGGAAACCTCTATATATTTTAATATTGCGAGTGAGAGAAGCGAACGAGAGAAGCGAACGAGAGAAGCGAACGAGAGAACAAAAACACTTTAATTATGATATAAATGTTACTTCGTCATCAAAACATGGCTCAGTAACATGGCTCCTCGCTGCTCAAATATAACGAATATTCAGTTACGTCGCTGTCCGAATATGAAGTGATAGTTACCCGGAATGTTGTTATTTTTAAAAACACCGGAAGGGGTACAATAGTTACCCCCTCCTCCGTCTCGTACACCTATTACTCAAATAGAGTGGCAAAGTTACGACTCTCGAACATCGATACGCGGTTTTCAATTAGTTTCTTCCTCATTAATGGTGCACATCAGAAAATTGAACTCTCTGCATAAAAACTAAGTATAGTGGAGGAATTTTACAATTTTGGAAATTAAGATTTCTTTCAATTGTTTAACCTTTGGAAATGATGTTTAACACACTCCGGTATGGTAGACAATATTTAACAAGAGGCTCACGAAACCCATAAAAATAAGGAGTAAAACAAACATTAAAAAACGCTATTTATGATTTCTATCCTTTACTGGGACACGAAATTACGAAACCCTGAAGCAACATGCGAGGGAGCAATGCGACCGAGATATAGGAAATGTTACCATCTTATACTCGCAAAGCATTATATCTTTAATGCACTTAACCCTGCCTATTGGGTCGCATAATCTTGATTGTTCTTCTTTTTAGTTTTACTTTTCCTCCCCTTTTTGTTTCTTTCACCGTTTTGCGCTTTTGCGCCCCCTCTATTCTGCGTTCTTTGCACCCTCAAGTGCTGCCCGAGGCACGTTCCTCCTCTACCCCATAGATAAGCCATTGGCTATTAATGATAGAATATTCTTCCTTAAAAAAAAGTTAAAGGGAAAGTCCACCCTGAAATTAAGTTAGTTTTAATAGGAGTAGAAAAATGAGAGAAACAAGTCAGTGAAAGTTTGAGCAAATTCCGATTAAAAATAAGGAAGTTAGGATTTTTTGAAGTTGTGATCAATCAAACACAAATTGGCAACTCTATGACGTATCATGCGAGCTCAACTTCCATTTGCTCAGTACTAAAAAAATCTAAAATTTTCATTTTCCCTCAAGAAAAATTTCAACCATATATGCACCCTAAATATAATAATTGCAAATATGTTTCTATACTCCCCCTGCAAGGAACAAATATATATTCCGTCATCAATAACGAAGAAAACATGATTTTATGGAATATTATGCACAAAGCAAATGAAGGAGAGCTCGTAAAATAAGTCACAGAGTTGCCAATTTGTATTTGATTGATCACAACTTCAATAATTCATAACTTTCTTATTTTCATTCAGAATTTGCTCAAACTTTCACTCACCTGATTTTCTTAATATTCTGCCTCTATCGAAACAAACTTATTTTTGGGGTGGACTTTCCCTTTAATGTGGCTCATCGATTCAACAAACTAAAGAGAAAAAATGTTCCACGAAGATGTGTGGACATTATTTTGTTCGGCGTTTCGTAAAGGTTTAGGATTAGGGTTAGAGTTAGGGAAAGGATTATGATTAGAATTAGGGGTAAGGTAAGGTTTAGGATTATGGTTAGAGTTATGGTTAGGATTAATAGGGTTAGAGGTAAGGTAAGGTTTAGGATTAGGTTATGATTATGGTACGAGGGTTAGGGGTAAGGTAATGTTAGGGGCTAGGGTTTTAGTCAAGGTAAGGATTATGATAAGGGACCAGGCGCGTACGCAAGGAGGGGGGGGGGTGTTTTGGGGGTTAAACCCCCCCCCCACCCCTCATTTTTGTTTGTTCTCGAGAAAAAAATTGATGGTCCTTAGAAAAAATCTAAACTTCCATATTAGTTATCCGATTTTACTGAATTTTGGGGCTCTATTTCTCTTGTTTTTTTTTATGTTAAAAACAAATTATTTTAGAAGTGGACTTGCCCTTTAAAAGCGACATAGGATAGTAAGTTTAAATATGCCCACTCCAAATAATGTTTTGGAGGGAAAATTTATTTTAGCTTCCCATCAAATGTACTCCTATGTATGCCATATAATTATGGCCAAATCATAATTTTATAGTACTTAAATGTACTTATTTAATGTACTTAAAAATTAATAATTATGTAAAAAAAAAAAAAAAAAAAAAAAAATTAAAGTGAAGTCTCTACGTGGAGAGGATAGGGGGCACTTGTGAGAATGGAAAAGGGGCACGTATTACAGAGGGAAAGGGGCACTTGTCGTCGGAAATTGATACCTATCATATTCCAATATGAGCATTTATCTGAGTTGAAAAGGGGCATTTGTGAGAAGGGAAAGGGACAGGGGCTCATATTGATCGAAACGGAAAAGGGGCACTTGTCAAAGAAAAGGAAAAGAGGGCACTTTGGGGGAAAGTCTTACTATTCTCTCCTCTGAAAAGACCGGTTTAATTTTTACCGACCCTCCAACGAGCAGCACCATTCACAAAATGCGTCATATCCTTTTCTCCCATTTTTTTTTTTTTCTTCTTCTTGAATGATTACTATAACATTTCATACGCTTAAAATGAACCAAATTGCCCTTCTGTCACATCAACTTAAGCACAGAGTCTTGTGTCACATTCATATCGCACGCGGTAAATCATCAAAACTTTTTTCAGAAAGTAACTGCAATTTAAGAAAAGAGGAGGCCAAAGTTTTTTTATTTGGAAAGGAAATTCAGTGGCGTAATGAATAAAAACGTTATGGAGGGGGGGGGGGGGGGGGGCAGAATAAAAAAAAAAAAATCCGAATCACCACTTTTCTTATATGTTACATGCAGGTCCCGCGGAACTAAGTGGGGGGGGGGGGGGGGCTGAAGTATTTACGATCAGGTACATCATGTGAGTGGAGTGTAACTTGGCGTGGGGTCCAGGGGCGGAGACCAATGAAGCTCTGGGGTTTTATGCATTTAATTACGGTTAGACGTGCATATTTTTATTCCTCATTTGTGACACTGGCAGGTCACATTTTTTTTCTTTCTATTTCTCTTTAACAAGTGAGGGGTTGGGGCTCTAACCACCCGAGCCCCCGTCGTTCCGTGGGCCCTTACACGAAGGCTTCTAAATAAGCCTCTTTTTCGCCTGACTGTAAATTTGGGAATTTGTCATTTTCCAACAAACGCATAATAAAGTGTAATACACAACAAAGTTAGAAAAATCCTGGAATATCCTGTCATGTCAGCAACATTTGAAAATCCCTGGTATAGAATTAGAAATAAAACACGTTTTAATTTCAATTGGGAGGGGGGGGGGGGGGGGACAACTGCCTCCCAAATAAAATTAAAACGTGGTTTATTTCTAATTCGATTCCAACTGCCCCCCCCCCTACCATTACGCCAGTGGGTGAAATAATGATTTTAATAACTCCTCGAGCGTTCCTTGTGCATCAGTGCACATTCGTACGATTAATTCGAATCCTTCCAATGTGAAATTTTCCGACGGAATCTGTGCCGACAAGGGCCCTGTTTTCTGGGAAATCCGATGAAATCTATTTTTGATCTGACTGCGTTTGGGGGTAAGCTTACACTGACCCGATACTTCAACATTTTCTGACAAGCCAACAAACGAAAACAAAATCGGCTGATTTTTTTTTTGCCGACTTCCCATTAACATTAACTGACGGTTTTCTTGGTATCATTGAAGAGGGTCATCCGATCGGTGATGCAAGTTGAAAATTAGTTCGTTCATCAATACTCTACTGATTGTGTGAGAAGAACTAATTTTCAAGGTTTTCCTGGTATCACTTTTCACTACCAATAAGCCGTCAATTCATATTAAATTAAATAAACACAGAAATTGATGGGCAAAACATTTTTCACGAAATCGGCCATTTATATTTCACTTTCTATAGTACCTGAGGAATACTTTCTAACAATTTTTACTTTCGTGATCGTGTCAACTGGTGCCTTACAACCCCCCACATTTTAATCACATTTTAAGACATACGGGGATGTACCGCTCTAATGGGTCACTTTTTCACCAAAAATCCCTAAAAATGGGTCTCATTTTCCACAAAAATATTCCTAAACATGGGTCCACTTTTTTTTTAATTTCAAAATTGTTCGTGTGTTTGCATGGCAAATTGTGAAAAATGGGCTTTACTTCGAGAAAAATTCCCCCAAATAACCCTTACACTGAGTAGCGGTTTCGAGGCTTCAACAGCGCACCCCCGACCTAACCAAATCTGAGTACCCCCCCCCCCCCCCCCCCCCCCCGGGCTTACAACAAGTAACATCACCACCAATTTCTCTAAACATGCACATAAAGACAACACAAGAATAAAATCAGTCATCAATTACATTTCATTATCTAAAAAATATAGTTAGGCAAACATGATACATGTATCAACAGTACAACATTATCTACTTTTTGCATCAGTTTATTTACACAAATATTCAGACATTATACAATTGTCAAGCGTATTTCCATTATTATCATTATAATTGTTGTTGTTGATATTCTTGCTTTCTCATAAATTCACATACACCCCACTGTACCACTTGTAGATGTATTAATTTAGATAGGAATCCAAAAGCTTACAAATCATTTTTAAAAATCGATAGAATTAACAAGGGTGACGAAAATTCAAATAAAATGTAATATTATACAGTCTGTATGTACATAAATCTAGATTACAGGTACGATCCTAAATCTCAAATTTATCAAAAGAGTCCTAACTGTAGCTGTCTGTCGACCGACATTGTCCTAATAATGCTCATCTTATCCGTGCCCCGTTTGCACATCTTGCCGATGGCATCCGAAAGGGACCCATCTTTGGATACAACTGTTAGGAGCTCTATGAACTCCTCAAAGTCTATACTGTCTGAATGGTCCACGTCGATCTGATCAAAGGCAAGGCGTCGCTCCTGTTTCGTTGAACTGTCACCTAGCTCGTCGAGGGCAATCTGCCTGAAAATGGAGGAGCCGATCGAATGAAATGATTATTTGCACGAAGCGTCTGCGTTCCCATTTTGGAAGAAACAGCAACATATTTAGTTATGAGATTTTAAGCACGTAACACCTTTTCTGATTTATGTTATCTATGGTCATATGAATAGGTGTATCGACATTTTGGGGACGTTGGAGACCTTCCATTCGCCGTCTGGCCAATGAGCGTTGAACAACGACAGCAGTATTATCCAGGCGCGTACACAGGGGGGGGGGGGGGGGGGGGGGGGTGTTTGGGGGTTAACCTCCCCCCTTTGGTATTTTTATGTGTGTAAACCCCCCCCCTTTGGATTTTTTAATTTTTTTTAATTATTACAACAACAAAAAAAACCAAAAAAAAAATATTCCCATGACTGACCTAAAAAGGTGACCTTACCCCCCCCCCCAACGGAGCCAAATGTCAAATTTTTCAAATTTCGAGACCAAAAAAAAAAAGAAGAAAAAAGTGTCCTCTTACCCCCCCCCCCCCCCCCCCTCCCGCTTATTCAGCGGCTGGCTGAGTCGTTGCGAAATTTTCGGCCCGATTTATAAATGTTAAACCCCCCCCCCCCCGCCCCCCTTGAAAAAATCCTGCGTACGCGCCTGGTATTATCTATTATAATTTTGTAATTTATTTTAATGCAAGTATCGTCATGTACGTACATCATTTCGTAACAGCCTCTTTACATAAATGTGAAACGATTCTTGCTTCAAACTGAAAAGTCTACACTTTTTATTCTGGTGATCTGACCTTTCCTCCATCGTCATTTACCTCAATTGTATAATCAAGTGAAAAAGGATGTCATTTAACACTGATTTCTCGTTAAATTTTGGTTAAATCCCAAGTTTTGTTTTCTTTCATCAATATTCGTCTTCAAACACATTTGTTTTGAAAACCCTTGCAGACTATATAACATTTTCTTTCACATTATTACACAATTAAAGTGGAATTTTGCCATCATTTTTTGTTAGTGAATTTGGGGCATCCGGCAGTTTAGAAGGGCTTTAAAGGTCGGGGTTTAGAGATTGAGTCAAAAATTAAAAAGGAGAATTCTAATAGTGTTAAAAATCGGCAGCAGAGCAATTGTTGGTTATCGTGAGGTCTTACGATCACTTCTCTTATAAAGACATCATGCTTTCAAAAAATATAATCAAACATGACTGAACACTCCCCAAATGTGGAGAAGAAATATCAGAAACAATTTTGAGAATAATCTTCTAACGTCATGAAAAATTCAATGAAGTGAAACAAAATGAAAGCTGGGACCTACAATTCGTGATAGTCGATGAGTCCATCTTGGTTTATATCAAATGACATGAACTGGAACTTGAAGGTTTCTAGTTGAGCCAATGTATACCGGGTAAATTTCTTTTGTAATGCATCCAGATCTAAAGAGGTAAAATGACGAGAAAGCAAGAAAAAATAAATCACAATGTCTTCCATAGCCTCTGCATTCGCCTGCTAGGTGCCCGTTGGCACTTGCTCAGTCAATAGTTAATTTTTAGACATCAGAAGAAAATTTAAGATGTAAGTTAATAGTTGCTCGGATAGAGCATGAAACTGGTCGTTATTTAGTGTTCTCATCTAGGAGTTCATCTTGTAGTTTCATAAACATGATAGTAACATAATTTGATTTAGAGACCTTTAAATACTCTTTACTTATCGTTTTTTTTATTTGTCGCATGCATGATGTTTATGTTGGTTTAAATTTGAAAATGATCACGACTAACAAAAGTTTTCCACTCTTTCACGTAGACTTGACGAGACAGAAATAAATTATTAAGGAACTCTTTATATATATACTGAACGACAACTTAAATATTTATACCCCTTGTAAATTTAATGGCTTGTTCATAACTCAAGAATGAAGGATAGACTGGTTGAATTAGGGCTTTATTGAATACTTTTAGATGTATTAGCTTTGATATGTCAAGAAACATAATTCGGGAGGAATCCATTTTTAAACTTACTTACAAATTACAAAACGTGGTAAGGGTATGAATAATTTAGTTGTTACCTGTAAGTATATAATATAATATAATTGTATATAATATTAGGCCCAATACAATAGTGACAAACCCGTTTCTAAATCGGTGAAAAATCACCAAGATCGTTTTCAAATTATTGTTGCCAAAGAAATGCATGATCCAAAATAGAGTCATGAACCAGTGGTAGTATTACACAAAAACAAAAAAGCTTAAATGAAATTAGGATTTGTCTTACAGAGTTGATCGACCAAAATTGAACTTACTCCCCCATTAATGGCAAACCATTGCGTTATCCAATGATTTGGAAGATTTCAGATTAGATTTCACCCGGGCAAAGGTGTAATGGTATCATAAAGTGGTTGCTAAGAGCAGACGCACCAGAAGCAGTTTGGGATTTTTTTTTTTTGGGGGGGGGGGGGGGGGGGGGGGGGGCGGGGGCGAACATTCCAGGGGGCGAACATTCCAGGGGGCTCACCTTCCAAGGCGTGGGGTAATGAGCAAAAACGATTGGGGGGAGGCAGAAGAAAAAATATGCATCACCACCACTCTAACATGTACTGTACATGCAGGCCCCGCAGAACGTTTTCAAAGTTTTGCAAAGTATTAAAGATCATGTAAATTGGCGTGGGGTCCAGGGGCTTTGCACCTGCTGGGTCCAGGGGACAGATCCCCGGAAGCTTAGGGGTTTTAGGTATTTCATTACGGTCAGATGAGCATCCATTGGTCCTTCTTAGGGCCCTCGGTGGGGTCCAGTGGGCAAAGCCCTACAAGCTCAGGGGTTTTAGGCATTTAATTGCGATCAGATTAGCATTTTGATACTTCATTTGTGACACTGGCAGGTCACTCATTCTTTCTTTCTCTCTTTCTTTCTTTTTCTCTTCAACATACTTTTTCAAAAAAATAATCGAGCTCGAGCCCAAAATCCCTTCCGTTCTGCAGGCCCTGACATGAAGGCTTCTAAATAAGCATATTTTTTTGCCTGTCTGTATATTTGGGAATTAGTAATTTTCCAACTAACGCATTAAAAGTATAATTTACAAAAAATCCCAGAAAATCATTTCAGTTCAGTAACATTTGTGAATCACTGGTATCGATTTAGAAATAAAGTGCCCCCCCCCCCATCAGTACGCCAGTGCAGTGTCCAGGGGCTCATGTCTTCTCACCCCTATAATAACAAAAAACACCTTTTCCATCCTCTCACAATAATCCCACGATTATCGCTATTATAAAATCCTCCATTGATAAATATAGGGACGTGCGGATTATAGAGTACATTTAATTCCTGTTTACTCTCCTTTTCTTTGAATGGAATATAATTTTTTATGTGATTTAATACAGGTTTTATTACTTTTTATTTTCTTTTTGGTTAAAAATACAAAGCATTTTTACTCCTTTACTGCTGATTTTTTTTTTTTTTTTTTTTTTTTTTGGGGGGGGGGGGGGGGGTGAAATGGGTTTAAGAGGTTGAAAACAAAAATTATTTTCTTTTTGGTTAACAAATACAAACCATTTTTACTCCTTTACTGCTGATTTTTTTTTTTTTTTTTTTTGGGGGGGGGGGGGGGGTGAAATGGGTTTAAGAGGTGGAAAAAAGTACCTTCAAATCTTTCCCGTGCTTCTCTTGCTTTCTTACGTTCCTCCACAAACGCCTGAAAGTTCTTTTCTGTTGCAGACTCGAAGCCCGTCTTGTCATATTCTATCTCTATATCCTTCTTCTTTACTCCTGTTAATAAAATGAAACATCGAAGTAGATACTCGTTAACAATCTCTTGTAAACCAACCCTCACTTGTTAGGCTACTAGTCTTAAAACTGACGATTATGATAGGAGGAGCTTTCTACGATTCCAATATTGCCCAAAGCTAAATTTTTAGCAACATTAGCGATATTTTTTCTACTTCGTTATCATATTGACCGCACTAAGACCATATTGCCCTCGTCTTTGACTCGGGTCAATATGATCTTAGCTTGGTCAATATTTCTGATGTACCCCTCAAGCCCAGTCAATATAATATTAATATTTTGATGTTGTTTATAGATTGCATAAGGAGCTGGAAAATATAAATGGGAGCGTTTTCATATTCTTCTTCGTTGAGACTTGTTAAGAGTTGGATTTTTACATTTGAGTAATTCTATAAATTAGTGACCCACTTTGTGACATTTTTGGTGTCCATGTTACAAAACTCCGGGTTACTTGTTATTCCTAGGGTTAAAACAAAGTGGGGGGAGCGAACTTTCGCTCATGCTGGGCCTTCATTATGGAATTCTCTCCCCAATGGATTAAAAATAGCAGTTCTGGAGAAGTGTTGTTGTTGTTGTTGTTGGTTATATTCATGGCGCTCAGTCAGATATGACTATTTACGCCTAGTCTAGTTTTAAGTGTTAAAAAACAATCTTAAGAAATATCTGTTTAATTTAGTTTATAATTGATTACCATTACATTTCATTTCTGTACCTTTCCTATTGCACTTTTGGATATATTTATCAAGTATTTGATTATCAAGAGGATTTGGCGCCATACAAATCTTATGTATTATTATTATTATTATTATGATTGTTAAATGATTCTAGGTATGGAGATGCAATATTATGCTTGGAAATCACTTTACAATCTCACTCCATTGTTTAATTCTTTACTCAGAGCCACAAATACGTGTGGGTTCCTTATGTAACAGGGACACCAAAAATGTCACAAAGTGGGTCTCTTATTTCACACGTTCTAAAGTTATGACTGAGTGGAGAATCTGCAGAATTCGATATTTCCAATATGGAATTCCTATTATAAGTAATAGTTATCGGCCTAGACCTAGTCTGGTGACTAAAGGTCTAGACTGTCTAATTCAGTGGTACTGTGTACGGTTCCTTTCCTTTCGTGCCCCCCCCCCACTTTTTCAGGTACCCAAAAGTGCCTATTTTGACATGTAGGACAAGTGCCCCTTTTCCTTTGTATGAACAGCCCCTTACCCTATTAACAAGTGCCCCTCCTCCTTGTGATAAATGCATCACCTTTCTTTTTTTCATTAGATCCCCTTCACTTTATCATAAATGTCCTTTTTCACCTCTGATAAATTTCCATATTAAAATCTGATAGGTGCCCTTTTCCTTCAACAAGTATCCCATTTCCACTCTCAGTGCCCTTGTTCATCTCTGGTAAGTGCCCCTTTTCTGGTAAGAGAAGTACCTCTTACCACCTCTGAGAAGTTCCCCTTCACCTTTAATAATTGCCCCTGTTCAAATGGTACACAATGTACTTTAACAAGTGCCCCTTTTTCTTTGCAATAATTTCCCCCTTCCCCTTCTGAAAAAAACTCCTTTTCTTTTTTGATGAGTGTCCCTGTTTATCACTGACAAGTGCCCATTTTATTTTGAGAGTGCCCCTTTTCCTTTCTAAAAAGTGCCTCCTTTTCACCCCAATAACTACCACCATCAAAATCTGACAGGTGTCCCTTTTCCATTCTCACAAGTGCCCCTTTTCATCTCTGTTGAGTGCTTCTTTTAAGGTGCGAGAAATTTCCCTTTTCACCTCTGATATTCTTTCCTGTTTACTTCAAGCTGTGCTCCTTTTTCTTTTTAATAAGTGGCTACTTTTCCTTTCTCCATAACATGCACCCCTAATTCAGTGACTTAAAGCCACTTTTTCTTTAACTTTCCCTACTGAGCTCGCTGGCTACGCTCGCATTTATAGCTGTTAAAAGAACTTTCCAGTCTCTCTTCATTAGATTATGCTTAAAATTCATCACGGTTTGCTCTTTGTCCTCTTTATAAGACGTAACTTTTTGCACTGCGACCTCACGAATCTGCAAGCTCGCTCGAAAATTAATATTCAGACCAGCACACCCAACTGCAAAGTATGTTGCTTAAACAGTATCTTGTACCACATAAAGAGAGAAATAAATATTGGTTTCATACCTGGTAGTGTAATCAAAATCTTATCGATGTAGGGGTATACATGTAGACTATAGATAGTCTAAAAATGGTGTAGGCCTAGTCCTATGTAGTCTATGTTCACTTTGATGTTTCCCTTTGTAGGTAGACTACCCCTTTTTTTCTTCAAAAAGTGCCCTTTTTGTTGGTGCCCTCCCCCCACTTTGGAGGACCTCCTCCGCCCATAAATTTAACACGTATTACGTAACGGTTAAGTCAACCATGCTCACTTTAATGGAATCTTGATCTACGAGGTTTAGATTATAGTAACTTCATATCTAACTTAGATCTAGACCACAGTAGGCCTAGTCTATAGTTCAGTAGCCTAGATCTAGGCCTAGGCTAGGCCTAGGCCTATACTCATGGTCTAGCCAGTCTAGGTCTTTATGAATGATGATTAGGTCTAGAGTCTAGTGGTAGATTCTATTTCTAGGCCCTATTTCATTTGATACACATGCATTTCTTGTTAACATTAATAACAATAATAGATCTAATTCAATGGCAAAATTTACAATTATCAATATCATTATCAGTGTCAAGAGACACAACTCTAAGTTAGAGATTGCTGTCATAGAGTCTAGTGAAACTGATATTACAATTTACATAGGCCTAGGGTCAAAAGCCTGTTAATAATCATCCCGGGAATCATCCCAGACAATGTGTGCCCGGACGGCTTGTGTGACTAGTGACTATACCATACCAGGACTTGGGATAGGACTCAGAGTCAGACTCGGTCAGACTCTGTCAGACTCAGACTCAAAATCAGGTCGGGACAAGTGATTTAAATTTGAAGAAGTTTACAAGCAATATTTCATAAATCTTCTTAGACTTATGCTGGACGATATAATAAAGGACAAATATTCACGATGGTTAGTGCTATTTGATGATTCCCGTTAAATCCGAAGGCAAAAGAGAAGGCCTTTTGTTTGTTAATGTATGGACAACACCCCCTCCCCCTCCCCGCTCCATCATACCGTAGGCCTAGGCCTAGATGCAGCTAGCGCCTACGTAACACACAACATGCACACGCCGATTATTTTTTGGTTATTCTTGTTAAAATGTTAGTCTTTCATTTTTAATCAGCCCTTTTAATCTACCTATTATGATAAACTCACCACTCGTATTGTAGGATATCTCCGGCTCAAAGCTGATGATTGTCTTAGGAACTGGAATAGGAAAGCTGGGATTGAGTCCCATTTTTGATGATGATTATTAATAAATAATTAATATTATTGTTAAATTTGAAGTTTGTGCAGCTGATATGACGTCATTTGAATTCTGCGCACGCAGATGACGTATTATGTGTACGCGCATCTCAATTATTACGTCATATCTCTAGTGCTACGTCAAACTTTGACACTTAATATGCAGCGAGTATACTTTCACGTACTAGAAGCGACGATGAAGTGTCAATGAGGTCAATGAAGTTTACTATAAATGACTCAGTTTCGAGAGGTGTCAGCTACGCTATGGGCGCTATGACTACCGGTGCTAGCCCAAAGAAGAGGCAGTCTTGCCCTTGTCACCAGGACCGATGTTAAACAATGATCTGGTTGCTGACCTAGTGCGACAGTTTATTGAGGTCCTGCAACCCCTCAATTATCAAGACCGTGTGGCGACTGCAGTGAGTGCGGCCAGCATGGATTCCGTCATGGCCAAGGCTTGAAGAAATGGACCCCTCCTCCTCCTACTCCGTCAGCTGCATCCGCCCAGACCAACGTCTTAAGATTTGAGGTGGGCCGTCTTGAACAATATAAGTGTCGCGAGAATATAAAGATCAATGGTCTGCCTGAGACAGCTGGGGAGGACACGTCCGAGATGGTGAAGAAGCTGGGAGGGAGATTGCCGTGCAGGTATGCCGTCTCGCATCGTCTACCAGGTGGAAGGTCTGGAAAGCCGGCGCCAATCTTCGTGCGGAGGGAGAGGAGGACGGAGTACATCCAGAAAAAGCGGCGACTGAGGGAGATGAAGCGGGACATCTTCCTTGCCGAAGAACTGACAGAGGTAGGTGAGAGAAAACCATGAGAATATCACCAAGGTTTAGACCATCGACGGCAAAATCTTTGTGTACTGAATGGCGGTTCGAAGGTGACCATCGACACGCCTGATGACCTGCTGAAGATCGGGTGGTCCGAGGACCGCATCAGGTCTTTCTCGATGGGATAGGGATACGTCGGCCCGGTAGTAGTGAGCACATTTTTTTTTTGGCACTCGGAAATTAAAAAAATCGCACCTCCCCCCCTTGAGCGCCAGGGGGGGGGGGCATCTCCAATAAAAGGTAAAATTAACGTTTTTCCCAGGGGGCGGGCCCCCGGGATCCGCCACTGTTTCGGGGGGTAGTTGCCCTGGGGGGGGGGGGGGGTAAATTTCAGGGGGGTAATAATTGTCCGACACGGGGGAGAGAGTAATAATTGTCCTACTTCTAGAACCTTTTTACCGATACATACTTTAATGGGGTAGGAGAAGGGGGGGGGGGGGGAGAAATAGGGCTGTCAAAGGACTTGTGTTCACATCGTAATCGGAGTAGTCCTCCGCACTTCTTATATTTAACATGCTCCCAGTTTTTTCTAATAAAGTGGAATTTTAAGTTTATAAACCATCAAATTAAACTACACGCGACAAAGAATTGATTTCTCACAACATGATTAATTTTGCCATTAAACTTCATCAATGTTAATTTATCCCTTTCTCCGATCAATTTAAACATATCTGAATTCATCCATGGGGACTACTGAAGTAGATTCTAGACCTATTCATTTCTAATCTTACTTTATACATCAAGATCAAAGGAGTTTCTTTTATGTTATAGGATGGAGAATCCCAAAGAGAAATGTGCGTGGAGGGTGCCTGAGATCATGATGTAAGCATACCTCGACCTACACAATAGCTACAAAGCCAAAAAAAAGTGGGTAGGCAAAACAACTCCACGACAAGATTTGTGATACTCTCAATCTGCCGAGAGGGTGTACGGAGAATTAATGAAGAACATCGGCCGAGAGTATAGGGATGATGTGAGAAGCTCCATGGCTACAGGGAGCGAAACCCGGACACCTACACTGAGGGGTTCTAGTGACTTGTTCGAAAAAAATGACGAATATTACCAATTGTACTTCCCAACTGGTGGACAGGTGATTATACTCAGGGGCGTACGCAGGATTTTTTCAAGGGGGGGGGGGGGGGGGGGGGGGGGTTTTAAATATTTTGCTCCCGAAAATTTGAAAATCGCGCCGGCCGAAAAGTCGCTCAGGGGGGGGGGGGGGGGGGGGGGGGGGGGGGGGGGGGGGGGTAAGCGGACACTTTTTTTTGTTTTTTTGGTCTCAAAATTTCAAAATTTGACATTTTTTACGTATGGGGGGGGGGGGGGGTAAGGTCACTTATTTAGGTTAGCCGTGGGTATAATTTTTTTTTTTTTTTTTTTTTTTTTAATAAAAAAAAAAAAAAAGCCAAAGGGGGGGGGGGTTTAGGTTTTTTTAGGGGGGTTTACATACATTAAAATACCAAAGGGGGGGGGGTTTGAACCCCCAAAACACCCCCCCCCTGCGTACGCCCTGATTATACTAATAAATGATATCATTCTGATACAATTCTGACTACAAGAATAAGCAAGTTTTCCGTAGAATGAAGTACGCAATGAATTCGAATAACTCTTTTCTGTCGCTCTGTCAAATTTGACAGATATTAATAATATAATATATATGGCCTATATACTGATGCCAAATGTCTATAAAATTTACAATGCTTAATATTAAAAATGCATGTAACTTAAAACAAGGTATCATAAAACTTGTAAAATAATTTGCCGTTTATTAAACGGCAAATTATTTTACAAAGTTCATGAATTTCAACTTAATCAAATCAAAATACAAAATGATACATGTAACAGTCTGTTTTTTGTACTCATTTGACTTTTAGATTTAATTAAAAACTTTAATTTTACTGTATCAACATCAAACTGACTATAAGTTTATCAGAATTTTTGATATATTTACCATTCCAACCATTTTAGGTTTAGCCGCATGCAGTAATTACAGAAGGCATGGTAAGATCCCCGTAAGATCCATAAGCATTGCGTCCGGACCAATCCCAAGTACATCGCAACCAAGCCCAAGTACATCGCAACCAAGCCTAAGTACATCGCAACCTAGCCCAAGTACATCGCAACCAAGCCCAAGTACATCGCAACCATGCCCAAGTACATCGCAAACTAGCCCAAGCACATCGCAACCTAGCCCAAGTACATCGCAAACCAAGCCCAAGTACATCGCAACCTAGCCCAAGTACATCGCAACCATGCCCAAGCACATCGCAACCTAGCCCAAGTACATCGCAACCTAGCCAAAGTACATCGAAACCCAGCCCAAGTACATCGCAACCTAGCCCAAGTACATCGCAACCTAGCCCAAGTACATCGCAACCTAGCCCAAGTACATCGAAACCCAGCCCAAGTACATCGCAACCAAGCCCAAGTACATCGCAACCTAGCCCAAGTACATCGCAACCTAGCCCAAGTACATCGCAACCTAGCCCAAGTACATCGAAACCCAGCCCAAGTACATCGCAACCAAGCCTAAGTACATCGCAACCAAGCCCAAGTACATCGCAACCTAGCCCAAGCACATCGAAACCAGCCCAAGTACATCGCAACCTAGCCCAAGTACATCGAAACCCAGCCCAAGTACATCGCAACCAAGCCTAAGTCATAGAGCTATATACTACTAACACTTATTAATATATATCTCTATGGCCCAAGTACATCGCAACCAAGCCCAAGTACATCGCAACCAAGCCAAAGTACATCACAACCTAGCCCAAGTACATCGCAACCAAGCCCAAGTACATCGCAACCAAGCCTAAGTACATCGCAACCATGCCCAAGTACATCGCAACCTAGCCCAAGTACATCGCAACTAGCCTAAGTACATCGCAACCTAGCCCAAGTACATCGCAACCTAGCCTAAGTACATCGCAACCTAGCCCAAGTACATCGCAACCTAGCCCAAGTAATCGCAACCTAGCCCCAAGAAGAGACGCACTCAACAGGACGAGATGCTGGATGCGATCAAGCAATTGGTAGAAACCCCAAAAACAATTGCCACTGAACTACAAACTATAAGAATGGTTATGGCTACACATTATGGCATTGAAGGGAGGGTTCAGAGCAAAGAAATTTAAGCTATTATTTAATTTCTTTACAATGTTTAGTCGTTGCATTTGGACTTTTACATTTCCAGACTTAAAAAAAAAAACAGAAATTTTTTGAAATTCAGGTTGTTCATTATAAGACTATAATCACTGTTGACCGTTGTTACTGATAATATTCATGCACTTTCTTTAAAGCCCTCTAAAGTGTTGGGAGCCCCAAATTCGCCAAAATTTGAACGCACGATTTCATTTACATTGTATCATTATGTGAAAGCGGGTGTCATTCAAGACACACTTCTGCAAAGGTCCCCCCCCTCCCCACGAAAAAAAAAAATATATATTATGTTTGAAGAAAAATGTTGATAAAAGAATATAGGCCTAATTTGTTGTACGCAGAAAACATAAATGTATTCTTTCATCAATATTCGACTTCAAACACATTTGCTTTGAAAATCATTGCAGAATTGTGTTTTAAATGACAGCCTCTATTTAAATGTAATGATGATATTGTACAAATTGTTGATGAATACGTCCCTGTCTACCGCATTTGAATGATAACACGAAAGCAACTATCAACAATCAACGTAAAGCAATAGGCCATTTTCGTAATGTAACCAAATTTAATGCATACGTCCTTGTGAAGTGCCTGATACAAATTATTTCATTCAACTGTTCAGAATTCGGAATTCGAATTTCATACAGTACAGTATTTGTTGCTAGATAGGACACACATGATGGCTTTCCCTACCTAACAACAATTATATGCAGTTTTTCATTCTGATTATTGAAATAAAATTACATATGTATTTGAAACCGGTGAATGAAATAATTTTTATTGGCACTTCAAAAGGAAGCATGCATTAAAATGTTGTTACATTTTAGAAAACAGCCTTGTATGTCGCCTATATACAAATGTACGAACATGACAATGACGTAATATTATATGAACATGATTTCTGTAGGAAATACAATAGGGGATTAAAATTGCCCTTGAGTTGATTTTTCGATAATAGTTGCGAAGGTTTTGATATTCACCAAACAAGACGTATCACAATAACAATTAAAAAATTCGATTGGACAGAATACTCATTTGTTATATTTCAAAATTTAACATACTGAATGTATAACAAATCTTCTCATTTTGCTGATCATGCAAAAGTTTAGGTTATACGACATTAACAAAATAAGCCACTTACTAAACGTTTAAGTTACAGAATAAAAAATTAAGAATTTATTTTATTTCAACAGATTATACAATTACTGTCGTAATGAATCGGTCTTCTGATTCGTCGTTGCTATTCCCGAAAATAAATAACACTATGTACCACCCCTCCCCCCTCTCTCTCTCCCTTTCTCTCTCTCTCTCTCCCTTTCTCTCTCTCTATCTCTCCCTTTCTCTTTCTCTCTCTCTCTTTCTCTCCCTCTCTCTCTTTCTCTCCCCCTCTCTTTCTCTACCAATCACCCTTCAGTCTCTGTCAATCATTCTATTCTCTTTGCTGTACGTATGCATCGCCAGGAACCCCCTATTATGTCCCCCCCCCCCCCTTGTACTTATTTGTCAGGGCTCATAACGCATCAAGCTCCGCTCAATTTGGAGCCCTGGCCAGTTCTCTTTGAAATAAGTTTACATTTTCTTTATTTGATAATGTTTTAGTATAATATTGATTCGTATTATATGTATTCAGAATAAGTAAATAAATAAAAGAAATGAAACAAGCCTATAATCATGTTCCATAACTCAACTAGTGGCGGGTACATGAGGGGAGGGGGACAATAATTTACCCGTACGGGCGTACCCCATTTAGAATATGTAATTCCTTTCCATTAGCACCCGAAGAAAAAAAATGTGCAACATCGCATGGACCTATTCCCAGAAAACATTTAAGTTCTTTAAACTTTATTTCGGTAAAATGAAGAAAAGTTTTACAGGCCTATATGCCTCATATACCCTGTGCGAAATGATATTGAATACAGAACAGTTGTCTTAAATAATGGACTATAACATTTTTAGTCATTTCATGAGACCTGATGGGGCCAGAATGTTGTTAACTCTTTGGAAAAGTATTCGATTAAAGCCCTTCTTTATTAAGACAAACAGGTTTTATTATACCAAAAACAACAACGTTGAATCTGCTTTAAAACAGACCTATCGGCAGTTTAGCCTTGTGCTAAACATAAACAAGTTATCTCATAAAGCTTACTGTACTAGTATAGCATTTTTGCTGTGAAATTCAATTCAATTCAAAATGGTTTATTTCAAACAAAAATGTCATCGCGGCGTTTAGCCGAATTACAAAAGGTTACAAACAAAATGAATAACATATAATATAATATATAACATAGCATAACATGACATATTGAATTTGAAAAATAAATCAGTATAAATACGAGAATATGGAAACACAAATTAGAAAGAAATCTGAATTAAATAGCATAAAGTAACATAGTTCTACTGAAATCACGTGAAAGAAGAAGGACGGAAGTAAGCAATAAACGGAGCAAGTGTATGTGGTGGAAAATATCGAGAGTAAAACTGAAAAGTAATGAGTACCGTTTGCAAAATGTAACTTATTGAAATTAAGAGTGGGAGAGATTTAACGAGGAAGAGTAAAGGCAGAGAGGGGGAAGGTATAGAAACAAGTAGTAGAAAGCGACAATGGAAAATTCATATAAGAGGATACGGGAAAGAAGGGAAAAGAAGAAGAAATGGAAGGAGGAAAAGAAGAAGAAGAAGAAGAAAGAAAAGATAAAAGAGTTAAAAGAACAAAACAAAGTGGAAATATACAACCATGCCTAAAGTTAATATTCTTTAACAAAGAGGGCAACCCTGCTCAATCGGTTTTTACTATCAAAGTGCAATGGCTATACTTAGCTGCACGGCTTCTTCATAATACTGATTTGATATATATTTTTGTGCATAATAATGTCTTAAAAGCCAGCTGCGATTCCTCCTTTTCTTGGATCAGAGAAAGCGTAGAGGGAGCCCTCGCGACTGCGTAGGATGGCCTGAACGACAGCATATCTTGTTTGAAGGCAAGTTTCATGGCCTTTGTTCTCCAATCTCGACAAAATTTCCTGAAATAAACAGTGATTTATAAGAAGATTTTGTTATGAAAATAATTCCATATGGGTAGGCATCAAATTCGAATTATTGATGAAGAATTTTCCGGTTAAAAAAGTGTTTGCATCAGACCTTTGTCCGATACGGGTCCATACTTTCATTAATAGTAATAATAATACAAACGTTACTTATACAGCGCTTACTACCAAAAGTCTCTGAGCGCAATAACAAACAAAGTAGACTGATAAACAATTACATATTAAACAAAACAAAAAGTGCAAATAAACCTACAAACAATGTGAGATACACATCAATGTGAACAGAGTAAGTTAATCATCAAAAGCAATTTGAATTGAATGTGTTCTACTCCCATTAGTGTACTTATTGTACTATCTGAAACGATTTGGCAGGACCCTATCGGTAATAAACTGACAGCAAAGGCCTAGAATTAGGCATATTATCTACATCTGCAGGTCTGGAGTAAAACCCCACTTCTTTGGGGAGGGGGGAGGGAGGGGGGGGGGTCATTTCCGTTCGGGGTGAAAATCCACGCTAAAAATAATGAAAGTCACTCTCAAAAGAGTAACTCAACCGCTAGTGGAGTGCGCCATAATTTAGAGTGGACTTGACCGTCATTCCTAATACATGTATAACTCGCAACAAAAGAAAGAGAGATTTCTATTCGCCTGCATGCATGAAGAGAATAACGGTCATCTTGAATCATGTGTAGGCTCATAATTTGATGATAGCAATGCAAATTGATAAAAAACTGATTGTGATATTTCTGTTTTAGAGTAGAGATGTAACATAATAATGGGGCACTAATTCAAAGATGATTAATTTATGAATAAACTGCTGGAAATACGCAACTTTTAAAACGGTAAACGGTCGGAAAAATCTACCACATCCTTTATAAATCAATAACGTTCCACTAAAATTAATGAAGAAACAATGGTAATGCTTTCAAATCACTTCATCACTTACCTCACTAAATCCTTCCTCATATTGGATGTAATTTGGAGACAACTGATGGTGGAGTCTACGTTGATTGATGACGTCACGAAGGTCCTCATCAAAACGTTGAGTTCGCAAGCTAACCTATTATAACACATGAAAATAATATATCCACTTACAGACCGACATAAATTATATTTCTATGTCTATCAAACAGAAATATTAATCTTTAAAATACTCTGATGGAAGTTCAAGGTAATTGGTCTCCTTTAGTTACTTGCGTGGTGCATGCTTATTGCAATCCGTTGTAGCCACAACGTAATGTACATAATGTAGCTAAGTTGCAACCGTTTGCATATACAGTGCCGAGTGCATCAGGTAGGGTTAGCGTTAAGATAATGGCCGGGGATTATTGTAAATGTTTGGTTTCGGGTTGTGTTTATCTAGAAACTATGCAATAATTAAAATAAAATGCATAAAAATGAGGTTACTTATGGAAGTTGAAAAGATGAGCATTTATGAAGTTATCGATCGTTGTTAATTTGATCTTGATACACTGAAAATCTTACCAATGAGATTGAAGTGATCATTCGCGAGCTACCTGACGCCCCCAAAGCCAGTCTGACGTCACCGTTTTCAGCCAATAGAATGGTAGGACTCATCGATGACATGGGACGTTTTCCAGGCTTGATAAAATTTGGAGAAGATGGCGCGATGCCGTCCGAGTTTCGAAGTCCCGGAGTCGAGAAACTGTCCATCTGGTTGTTGAGCACGACACCAGTCGTCGGCGACATGAACTTCGATCCAAATCTGCCGTAAAAAGGATGGTATTGTGAAATACATACAACACCATTAAGATACAAATTTTGAGTTGACCCCACCCCCCCCCCCCCATTCCCCTGCTTTTCTAGATTAACCCAAGTTAAACTGATGCCAACATAGTCGAAACATCAGATCAAACTACTTTTCTCATCTCGTCAGTTTTTATTTTATTTTATTTCTATTCATCCTCATCCAATCCGTCTAATGTTTCTTTTTGCATTTCTTTTCTATTTCGTCTTTTGAGTTGTCAATTCCTTTCTTTCTCACGTTTCTAAACTCAGAATTTCATTTTTACTCGCCCTGGAGCATCGCCGGAAATGGGAGTGTGACGACCCCCATCAGAGGTTTCCTGACGACACATTTCATATAAGAAATTACTTTTTTTTTAAAATTGTATTTAAGTTTTTTCAACATATATATGCGAATTTGACAAATTTACCAACGCTTTTTCACTCTTGTCGGTAAATTTGGAAAACTGAGGACTGAAGATATCGTGACGCCCTTCCACCAACTTACGGCGATTTATATAGGCCTGTTCGTCACCTTATGACATGTGCGAACATTGCAACGAAATGTGTTACATAATCATGATCATAATGATTTATATAGGCAATACGACGTGGCATTAGATTTCTCCTCGAGTTGATTTCTTGAAAGTCTACGCGATCGTATTCTGTTTCTAGCTTACCCATTATTGACTGTACTCGTCATTGCCACAGCACCTCCATTCGGCGCGATTACGGACAGATGTGACGTACCCTCATCAAAGGTGTTTGCAAAGGGCGTGTCGTATTGTGTGACGTTATCGTACGTCACCCTCACGTCATTGATAGTTTGGCGAATCAGAGAAGCCACATCGTCTGACGTCATATTCCCAATCAGCTGTACAAAGTGGTTCAAAGTCATATAGTGAAAATAAAAGGGTTCAAACATCTTCATAATCTTGTTGTCTCTTTGCAACGTGATCTTGTCGATAAACGGATTGTCAAAGGACAGGGGAAAATGAATCACAGATTCAAAAGAAGTGTCGGAAAAGATATTTCAGATGTTAAACATAATCCCTGTTTTTCCATTATGAAAACGTAAATGGGAATTTATTCAAAATTAGTCATCATTCTCCACTTAAATCTAAAAAGTTTATGTAGATAGTGTTATCATATATATTTTGTACCTATTTGCAAATGTTGCATTTCTTCAGCTCCAGTAGCGGTACTAGAGGGTGTGAACCAGGGGTCCCCCCCCCGTAATTTTTCTTAATTATAAATTAATTCAAGCGAGGTACAAGTAAAAACAAATGCAAGAACCTCTGTAAAATGTCCTTGTGACACAACACATGTTTACTTAAGGTGACATCGTCTTTGGGAGAACATGGTTCGAGAGTTTTCTAATTAGAATGGCTACAGTCCATGAGGGGGTGGACCGGACTGAAGATAGTTCGGTCTCATGAACCTTCCAAATTGTTGTCACAAGGTCCACGAAACAAAAACTTTGATTTCGCGGGCCTTCGGTCTCATGAATTGTCAATTTTACGAAGTCTCCCGGGATGTCCACACTTTGTGCATACGTTCCAACCTGTTACCTCGATGGCTGTTTACAATGATAAAGATAAAATTAAGACATGATAAATGCTCTCTTACATCTTGAACCGGTTCGTATTCTGTATCTCCAAGCTGCGCCCTCTTGGCAAAGGCAAACTTTGTTGCTTCAATGAAACGATGATACAACAGTGTTTCTCCCTCCATCGTCGATACATCTTCAGCTGCATAGCTGTATTCTATGCCGAAAGAACAACGAACGCGATCGTATAAACTTTCGAGAAATCCACTTCAAAGCACTTTCAATACCTGTGCCTCGTCTTATAAAGAGTTGATATTTATCGCATTATTACTTAATCCGAAAATGAATTCTTTGGGATATGCAAAAGGGTATTGAGATTGGCTTTGAGGTGATTTCTCGAAAGTCTTTGCGATCATGACATAGTCAACTTTGTGTAATCAGGGTGAATGAATTAAGAGAAACATTCCGTTTAACCTGTCCAACACTATCCTGTAGCCCCTGAAAATCCATGATCTAAACCGATTTTCTTCGAGGGCATGAAATAAACTCAATTACATTTAAGTTCTGAGGCTGAAATATGTTTTCAAGTTGTGCAATTTTATCCTGCTTTATGTTTTTAACATTTAATTATCCTAAAGGATTCGGAAGCAGTCTGATCACTCAGTTAGTCGTTGCGTCATCTTTTATTAATCAACTGTCTCATAAAGGCCACTTTTATATAGTAAACTTTTATTTACCTGATATTTCTATTAAATGAAAAGCTATCAGTTGCCGAAGATATAAGAATTAACAAAAATAAATGTTCATTTATAAATATGCGTGAAAACAGATAAATTAGGTAATTTAAGGAAACGAATCAATTCATAACCAAACGAAAATTAATATCATGATTATTATTTTGTCGTCACCAAAATGTTTCCATATTTTGTATCCTATTTATGTTCTTTGTAAACTTTGTCTCAGCCTTTGTTTTACATTTTGTGAGAAACAAAAGTATCCATGTTGAACTTACACTGCACAAATAAATACATCGAATTGAATTGAATTGAATTAAACTGAATTGAATAAGGGAGTTTACAGATACAATCTGCGCATGGGCAGATAAAGGTCATTTGTACCAAAATGGTAAAACCCACAGAGATGAATACTGGATATGCGCTCATGAAAGTTATGTAACATTATTCATTTATGCACCAACGGTACATTCTATGATACGCAGGTGGAAGTATTCTTTTCAAGAGGTCAAACAAAAGGTATTCATGAAGCACATCTAGGACTTTGGCAGTTATTATTCTAAGATGCTCAAAGTGGAACTTCTCCATGTGTAAAAGATCCGTGGATATTTGGGGTCATTTTATTTTGTACCATGTGCTATCTGTAAACTCCCTTATTGAATTGAATTGAATAAACCTTACCATCCATAATATTCATAATCATTTGGGCCACGACGCCACTGGAAGGGGGTGGGGCTGTGAAAGCAGTGAGATCACCAAACACGTTGACCTGTAACGGTTCTTTCACCAGGGCGTCGTAAGATGACATGTCTGCCAGGGTGAGGATACCTCCTGCAAAGTAGAATATAACGGTATAATTTATTTCAATCTGAAACATTTACAAAAACAGAAGCAGGTTATGAGATGGATGCTAGGACAACTATACCCATCACTGGACTGTCGGGCAACTTACTGTCATCCGGACAAACTACCCCGTAAAACCTGTCCCTCGGACAAAACATTGACTTGTTTATTCACAATTCACCAGAGCCTCGTAGGAAGACATGTCTGCAATAACTCTATTCTTTTAAAGCAGGACTGCACTACTTGTAGCTACTTGCGCCCTCTATATAGCAAACAATGCCTAATCGGTAACCGCTGGTCCCCCATGATCCACTTTTTCTTATGTTAATAATTGAGAGCTGATTTGATGAGATAACCACCTGCCAGTGAACACGCTGGGTGGTCTAATCCCTCTTGGCAAAACTAATGCAGACGGTCTTTAAACTCAATTTTCTTTACTTCCCACCATTTTTATATGATATTTAGTTGATCATTGAAGATAATTGTATAAAATAAACAAAAAAATACCTATATTCTGTGTTTCTTCGACCAGGGTTTGAGCAATGTCTCCCGTGTAGAATATATCAACCCCTTCATTAGCAAGTCTTCTCAAGGTTGCCGCTAGTAGAGGATTCATAACCAGATCACCCTCCGCCTTCAGATTACCATCACCGTCGACAAAAAGAGAGCTGTCAGGCAAACAAAGAATCAAATTATTATTTCTATCGAAAGTGTGTAGAAAATGCACCAAAAAAAATCATTTGGTATCATTTTTGTGTGGTATGTGTTCACGCTTGGACGACCAGGAGACATTGCCAAACGGCTTATGTGATGTTTGAATAAACTATTGGGATTTGGGTATTAATTCTGTCTTTGCAGATCCAAATGACATCCCTAACAAAATTAATCATGCCAAACATATCAAATATCAAATATAAATATCAAAGAACATTATTTTGTTCGTGTGTGACTTTGCTTCTGCAAAGAGCATACTTTTGCGCAAGTCGTTTTTTGCACTCTCGCAAACAATGCGTCCTGTTCATCCAAACGTGAGCACATACCGCACAAAAATGATACCAAACGTTTCGGGATTTAAACACTCTTTCAAAACACGTATGATAACCTTTCGTTCAAAGCTGACTTTTAAAATAAATGACAATTTTCTGAGTGTAAACTTTTTTTTGACTTGCACGGTATCGGGAGTCATTATCATATTATTTTTAAAAGTGTCTCTCCCTCTCCTAAATTGTCCTTCTTTGCCATACAATCAGGGTCATGTGACCCATGCTCCCTCTATCTACGCCAATGACACAAATTGCATTTTTTAAATCGTCTTCGTGTCAGTGATTTACAAAAATGAAACCATCAAATTAATCTTCCGAAAACGATTTCATTTTTCGAACAATAAAGTTGTCTTCCAACGAACTACTTTTGAGATTTGAAAGAGTTGTCCATCGTGGTTGTTTTATGGCTTGCTTTTCCTTTCGATATAGGATTTTATATTGTATACTTCATTTATTTTCTTCTTCGACGCTTGTATCATGCTATGTTCATATTATTTTTGTATATGAAGCGATCCACGGCGAGACGGCCCGGTGGCCAAAGCCGCCCCGCCTAGTACCGACTCAGAAAATGTTAAAGTATAACTTTAGTTCTTGAAGTGTAGAAAACGAAGATAAATCAAAGTCACTAAAACAAATTCTTGATTGGAGTTGAAGATTTATTAAAATAAACGTAGAATTAATAAAATCAAGAAGTTCATGTTTTGGGGCTGGGCAACCCAACTGAAGCAAATTAGCAACTCATGTCGGTATCGTAACGGAAAAGAGGTCCCGCTCCAGAGACGCAACTCGGTTTTTATCCCCCCGAACTGACACGCCTCGTCCTCCCAAAAATTGAGGCGTGTCACACAGACGCTTTGCGTAATATCAATCCACCCATAATTAGTTTCCATATTAAAAGGTCCTATATTTCTTGGCGAATTTACCCCCGGATATAAGGCGCTCCGGATGATCCGCATCTCTATTCCTCACTTCCTCTATCATACTATTTCGATAGTGTGAACAGACCCGCCAACAAGGAAAAACCCTTCCAATTGTAATACAAATCTATTTCCCGAATTTGCCTAATTAAATTTAAGTCAACTGTGGCGACACGCCCAGCGACACCTAATCCAATCGGCCAAGCCGAAAAAGTAGAGCCAAAATTAAGAGCGCAACGTCTCGGAACAGGTGTTAAAAATAGCATACAAGGAATTCACCATGTATGTTTGTAAACATAGTTCTATCGAAATCTACCAGGAATTTGCCTTGTACATGTACGTCAATGAACCTTTGAGGAAAACGTAAACACGAGAATATCCATATCATTACATATAGATCGAGGTGTCCTAACAAGTTGTGCCACAACATATACTTTAAATTGTTAATTAAATTATTAATTTTTTTATTTTTCAATTTCTGAAAAGTCATCTTCCAAAGGCATATTTTACTATACCTTAAGCCCTCATCTGCCCTGATGTAGTCTTCGTTATAAACGATATCAGCTGCCATGGTGTTATCGATCAGGTATCCTTCCTCTGCAATCAAGATGGCGGGTTGGAAAAGTTGATTCCATGGCAGTACACCGTAGAGGTCGTGAGCTTGCTTGTATCCATGGAGTTCACCCGGTGTCGCGATGCTTAATGCACCTATAAGACGAGAATTCGTAGGTAAGCAGAAAGGGATGAGTAACTTTAGAAAATACAATGCGGTTAGTAAGTTCAATAGAATGTAAGGAAAAGAAAACGGAAGGAATAGTGAGAGAGATGTTTAATGAAAGCGTTCTGCTAAGATTGAGATGACTGAAAGCCGGAGAAAAAGAGAGAGAGAGAGAGAGAGAGAGAGAGATTAAGAGATAGAGAGAGAGAGAGTGAGAGAGAAAGATAGAGAAAGGAGGGGGAGAGAAAGAGATAGATAGATATAGATAGAAAGAGAGAGAGAGAGAGAGAGAGAGAGAGAGGAAGGGGGGCATTATCGTATGTTTAGTGTTTGGTTGGTAGGGGGACAACATTTTCCGAATTAATTTATTGATTACGCAGTCGTCATTATCATTCAAGCTTTTTATTCATACTCAACATTTTTGATTTGGTGGTTGGGCCTGGGTACACTTGAAGGAATATTTTGTTCACCTGCTAATGACAGCTCGGGATGTTCGACGAACATGGTTTCGTTGGCGGCAAAAGGGGCTCTTTCTCTGGCATCAATAACCCGAGTCATACCGCTCTCTCGCTCGTAGATAGTCATAAAGAATCCACCTCCTATCCCTACATAGCTCAAAGAACATTATTCATTAAAGTCGGGGGAAAATGTTATCATTTACATTTTGAAAACCGTAATGCACAAATAGTTTGCCACGCTTCATTTAGCCGATGTGCATATTCATGTCAGTCTTTTTTAAGTTTCAAGTTCATTCCATTAAAAAGGTATTATATAACATCGAAACATTACAGAAATAGAATAAAAGTGCAATTTTATGTCAATGTAATCAGGTGAAACTCAATCCTTTTCGTAAGAATGATTTCCAATCATAATCATCATGTTTTAAAATGAACAGGGGAATGTAAGAAATCGGTTGGTTGCTTGGTTGCTTGGGTTTTACCCGACTGTTAATACAATCATAGATGTGCTTGTAAGTAAGCCAACATGGGACCGATGGCTTTAAATCCTCCTCGAGGGACTTAATGCCTAATGCTACGGTCACAAAGGTTTGTACGAACGATAATTTCGTACGAATCTCCCCGTTTTCCGTTGTCATCCCGAATTTCCATTGTCTGAAAATCGTTCGTACGGCGTTCGCAGCCGTTCGTAGGCCTAATGACATTTGTGACCGTAGCATTACCAAAGGACATTAAAGCGCATCGACTTGGTTTCGAAGCGGGGGTTACGAGTCACCGCGCCTCCCCCTTGGAAATACATCGGGTGGAAAAAGTTGTGGACTAAACAACGTCCAATCCGTATATTTTTTCCTGTCATTATGTGGCAAATGATAGCTGCTAGTTCATTTTCCTTCCCAAGGGAGAAAAAGTATACCATTTAAAGGACAAAGATCCTCAAATATTCAAAAATGCCGACACGGGGTTCAGAAAATCTTCCAATCCAGAAAGGAGACAAACAGGGGGTCCTCAAAGTTTTCAATTGCAGACTTGGCAAACCACATAATAAAAGTAAATCTGAAATTGACGACAAAAATATGGATCGGTTGACAGCAATGGAAGATCAAAAGCCATAACATGAGATACCACTTCCCTTACACACCACACTTTTGCTTATAATAATAATAATACTAATCTTTTTTACTCCAAATTTGATTAAACCGAAATGAAAATTCTTTTTGCCCAATTGATCGTGAGCCCGGCAGCCACTGAGCAGCGCCAGATCGACGTTGCTTTATCCCTTATTGTTGAACGCCAAACAAGGTAGCAGCAACTCCCATCTTTTAACGTCTTTTTGGTATGACGCGGCCGGGGATCGAACCCACGACCTCCCGGTTGTGAGGCGGACGCTCTGCCGACTGAGCGAACACTCTAGTTGTAATATCAGAGTGTTTTTTCCCCATTCACTTATCACACTCACTATTTACTTGTGTTTAAGAAATATTTAATTTCATTTTTGTACGATGAAATTCGTATAGCGTAAATGTTTACCCTTTTCCTGTAATGTTTGTTTGTTTTTTGGGGTGAACAAAATGTTGTTATCAATCGACGATACCAATGTCTAACTGACCATAAAGATTATATAATATTGTAGGTAGTTCATCAACAACACTCTTGTACGTGACGCTTCCTCTTCCTCCTCCTCCTCTTCCCCTTCTCTTCTTCTTCATCCTCTTCTTCTCCTTCTTCTTCTTCTTTTTCTTCTTCTTCTTCTTCTTCTACCCCCATCTCTCTCTCGCTCTCTCTCTCTCTCTTGTAATAGGTATTTTACGTAGGTTATGATTATTCAACTTCAAATTGAACTTCTAATGATATTAGGTAACCTTTTATATGAATTCGGTATTGTTATGACAATCGCATCAAAAACCTCGTGCTTACAGGGCATTTCGATTGCTTTCTCCATTGTTAATTTGTGTTCATTTGATTTTAAAAGAAGGGATTTCAAAGCTTAAAAATTAAAAACTTTTTGTTTCCCCACCTGCACTTGAAGGATGAACAGCACCAATACAGAGCATGGCTGCGATTGCTGCGTCTACTGCCGACCCGCCATCTTGCAAAAGGTCTCTGGAAAGGAAAAACACCAATGGCACAAATTTCAATATTTGTGCATACTTTAGCCAGGGTATGTGAGTTAAACTTCCAATTTCGCATTTAGAATGATTTTAAAGTATCAATCTAAGGGAAAACCAAAAGATTAACATTGTCAACATTCTTTAAAGAGAAGGATGAGTTCTGGGAAGAGGTGAAAAATAATTTGTGAGCATTACTCATTCTTATTATGCAAGTGTGGAAGAACATCAGTTAAGACATGTTCCCTGAAAAGCATGGCTCTTCAAATGCCTTCATATTCTAAATATGCATGTAACATCGTAAAAATCGGGGGGGGGGGGGGGGGACGGCTTTTTACGCCACGTGTTCGTGTAGTCCCATATACATCTTTCTGTGCAAGTGTTTGTAACTTTACCAAGACTTGGCCAAATTTCTTATCATTTTGATGATTCCAGAACCTTGCAATACACACAAATTCTTATATTCTAGATGATCAAGCTTTTCTGGTCGATTCCACACCGTTTCTTTCACAATGCAATCGCATGACCAGAACTCAACTTCATCTTTAAGTTTGCAATTTCTTTCCCATTGGTACAAGAGCAAGTACACCATGCAGCCAAAACTTTGTATTACTTTTAAAGGTAAAGTTTTAGGGCTTTAGTGAAAACCCCCCCTGAACTCAACTTCACCTTTAAGGGGGTATACATAAAGATTATTTATATTCATTAAAACAAATATCATTAAACAGTACTCTTTTATCATACATCATGGAAACATTGAATGGTATCAAAGATTAATATGACACTTCTGAAACTTCTGGAATTTTGAGGTCAAAGTTCACTTCCATGGTCAAATTACCATTTTCAATTCTTTAAACGCATTACCAAAAAAAGAAAAAAAAAGGCTTGTGTATTTTTCTATCTCTATTCAGCATTGGTTGGTAATAAACCTAATCTTATGGTAGCCTTAGGTTTATCAAGAGAAGTTTTTTTTTTAAATACTGAATCATATAAATGTAGCTATGTTATCAATAACGATTCCTAATGAGAAATAGAGAAAGATCTATTGGAACACACACACTTACGCACACATATAAATAAACAAAAACAAACACATAAGCAGACAAACAAACAAACAAACAGACGAACCAAAAAGTTAATATAGGGTCAAAGTTTCAAATGAATCGGTCGGTTGAGACAAAGTAACTATATACCTATCATTGCCTATTCCAACACATTATAGAGCTGAAAATCCTAGTATTTTTTTATTGTGTGTTTTGTTCAGCATTCTACTCATATACCACAAGTTAGGCTAACAAAACCGTAACACTTATTTTATTGACAATTCTCAGGTTTACCGCCCTCTTAATAAGAGGGGCTTTTCGTTTGTGTGGACGAGGACGGCGTTCACGTCCTCTAACGATGCGAATTGATGTCAGACACCCGTCCTGTTCACTACCTTATAACCCTTTTCATTTTAAGTCGACACACGTTCTCTACACGATGACGTAATGGCCCCGCACGCGCTTATTCAATTTCTCCTTCTTTCACTTCTTATTTTGTTCTATGTTTATTATTCTATTATACTCTCTCTATTTTTCTTATGATATTCTTTGTTTTTCCTTCTTCCATCTTCTCTTCTATCTTTCCATTGTCTATTCTTTATCATTTTCTCTTTCTGTCTTTCCTAATGTTATTGTTGTTGTTATCATTCTATCATTTTCTCTTTTTGTATTTCCTTATGTTATTCTTTGTTTTTTCCTTCTTTCACCTTCTCTTTCTGTCTTTTCTTATGTTATTCTTTGTTTTTTCCTTCTTTTACTTTCTCTTCAGTCTTTCCTTATGTTATTCTTTGTTTTTTCCTTCTTTCACCTTCTCTTTCTGTCTTTCCTTATGTTATTCTTTGTTTTTTCCTTCTTTCACCTTCTCTTTCTGTCTTTCCTTATGTTATTCTTTGTTTTTTCCTTCTTTCACTTTCTCTTTCAGTCTTTCCTTATGTTATTCTTTGTTTTTTCCTTCTTTCACCTTCTCTTTCTGTCTTTCCTTATGTTATTCTTTGTTTTTTCCTTCTTTCACCTTCTCTTTCTGTCTTTCCTTATGTTATTCTTTGTTTTTTCCTTCTTTTACTTTCTCTTTAGTCTTTCCTTATGTTATTCTTTGTTTTTTCCCTTCTTTCACCTTCTCTTTCTGTCTTTCCTTATGTTATTCTTTGTTTTTTTCCTTCTTTCACCTTCTCTTTCTGTCTTTCCTTATGTTATTCTTTGTTTTTTCCTTCCTTCACTTTCTCTTTCTGTCTTTCCATATGTTATTCTTTGTTTTCACTTCTTTCACCTTCTCTTCCTGTCTTTCCTTATGTTATTCTTTTTTTTTCCTTCTTTCACCTTCTCTTTCTGTCTTTCCTTATGTTATTCTTTGTTTTTTCCTTCTTTCACCTTCTCTTTCTGTCTTTCTTTATGTTATTCTTTGTTTTTTCCTTCTTTCACTTTCTCTTTCTGTCTTTCCTTATGTTATTCTTTGTTTTTTCCCTTCTTTCACCTTCTCTTTCTGTCTTTCCTTATGTTATTTTTTGTTTTTTTCCTTCTTTCACCTTCTCTTTCTGTCTTTCCTTATGTTATTCTTTGTTTTTTCTTCTTTCACTTCTCTTTCTGTCTTTCCTTATGTTATTCTTTGTTTTTTCCTTCCTTCACTTTCTCTTTCTGTCTTTCCTTATGTTATTCTTTGTTTTTCACTTCTTTCACCTTCTCTTTCTGTCTTTCCTTATGTTATTCTTTGTTTTTTTTCCTTCTTTCACCTTCTCTTTCTGTCTTTCCTTATGTTATTCTTTGTTTTTTCCTTCTTTCACCTTCTCTTTCTGTCTTTCTTTATGTTATTCTTTGTTTTTTTCCTTCTTACACTTTCTCTTCAGTCTTTCTTTATGTTATTCTTTGTTTTTTCCCTTCTGTCACCTTCTCTTTCTGTCTTTCCTTATGTTAGCCTTTGTTTTTTCCTTCTATCATCTTCTCTTATGTTATTCTTTGTTTTTATCATTCTATCACTTTTTTTTCTGTCTTTCCTTATGTTATTCTTTGTTTCTTCCTTCTATCACCTTTTCTTATGTTATTCTTTGTTTTTTTAATCATTCTATCACTTTCTCTTTCTGTTTTTACTTTCTGATTTACGCTGCGATGTAGCAAGATGACGTCATTCTGACGACGGGTCACTAGTTTTCTGACGAACCTCAAATCATCGATGAACGGGTTCGCAAATGTGGCCTGACGACGCCAGACGACCCGACGCATGCGTAGATCGCGGAAATGACGTCACATATTAGACGTCGACTATGTCGACGTGACAAACGAAAAACCCTAAGAACGGGATGAGAGCCAAGCTTGTTTTTATTGCAGACCACTTTACACAGTGTTAACGCCCTTCAAGTTTTCAGCAAAATCTTTGTTACTATCATTTTTTTTTTAAATTTCAGTCAAAATTCGAATTGAAAACAGGTTAATGTTTACTTCCGAATGACAATCAGTAGGGAATGGAAATAAGAGATTAGTTGAGCAATAGAAAGAATATTTGTGTAACGAAATTGCAACAGGACTTTATAGATTTCAAAAACTCCAGTCCCTTTCATTATGGCCCCAGTGTTTCGAAATGGTGCCAATGTTCGGTCGGCAATTTGTAAGTACATACGCCCCCTTCCGTAGTATTCATTTTTTTAAATACATAGTGTCACCCCTGAAGAGGAAACAAAATGGGAAAGAGAATTACTTGATACAAGTCATGATTGTTGGGGAAAAAACAAAATCGTCAACACACCTGCCGACTTGCGAGCAGATCTGAGCATCGGCGGCTACTGCCCCGTGGTCGAACCGGTACCCGACATCGGGCCCCGATGTCGGCGTCATAGTATGAGTGCTGTGCTCCTTGTCTCCGGGTTTGATGACCAACGGGAAGACGAAACAGGCAATGACGCCGAACAGCAACACGAGGGTGAGGAGGAACGCAAGGCACAGCTCCCATGACTTCCGCTCTTTCAAACTGCATGGACAAAATTTTGAAGAAATGTCACTCAATTTGTATATTTTACTTAGTTACTAGTAGTCCAACTAAGATAGCATGGTCATATTTTTGTAAAATGATGAAACCATTTGAAATTGAAATTAAAATTCAGTATTCACCGTCCATTTTGACACTTGGTTCCACTGTACTGTCATTTTACGGAAGATACATTTACAAATAGAAATAATCATGAGTGTGCACATTATTGCTTTACCAGCTATACATTGCAATATAATAGTATGAAAATAACTTGTAAGTGGTTTAATTACATGTAGGCCTACATGATAACCAATATTCTTTGCCTATTAGCATTACATAAGGTTTATTACCTTAGATTATGTAATAGGGGTAGTCGTTAACCGCGTAAATAGCGCATATAATAATATGCAGATAAGTATAGGTATCGGGTACTACATTGTTCCCCATACAGTTGGAATAACATTTTCTTACCTCTTTTGACGAAATGATTGTGACAATATGATCTATTATTCAAAGGAAATTTTCTCAGAATATTCTCAGAACTTTATTGATCAATCTCTGTTAGTCTTACGATTGGATGAATCATATCTTTACAACTAAGGTAACTCTCTAACATGAAAACTACGATTATTTGTAATATAAATTGATTTTTAGCAAGTTTGGAGATACATAAAACAGTTTCAATTACTTCTAAGTCGAATTGTTTTGTCACAGGGGACAAATTTCCTTGGCTAAAGACATAAAATTACATAATTAAAATCATTAAATAATTGCCGAATAAACCGTAAGAAAGTGGATAAATCAAATACTTACTTTTTAATGACACTGCTCATCCTGTTGTCATCAGATACCGTTTAATAAAAACATATAGTTTAAGAAGCTTGTCCTAATTCAACTCAGTTTTGTCTTGTTGAACCAAAGAAGTATTTAGATGTCTGTATTATCCCTCCGTCTAGAATGCACATCGTATGCAAGTCTTTGGTCAACGATAAATACATCAGAAACAGCACTAGCGTTCTGGTGAGGGGGTTTGGGGGCTGCTGCCACTCAAAAAAGAACGAAAAAGGTTCCACTTTACTACTCGCTAGCATCCAACGTTAATATACTACGGAATACAAAGTCTGTTACGGAAGGATCGAGGGACGGATCGTTACCTGAATTATGTCATTGCGTTTCTATTGTGCTGAGGAAATATTTTAGTTCCAACTGGATCAGTCCCTTTAAATTTTGACTCATTACGCCACCTAGAATCGGTGTACTTTGACTGTTTCCTGTCAATAAAAGGGTAATTATGCCGTTCAAGTGTGTCTTTTGTTTATTCATCGTGTCGATGGCAAATTGGCGTTGAACGATCCTCAGATAAGATTAAAAAACTAGTGGTGGATCCAGGGGGGGGGGGGGGGGTGTCAGGGAAGATTCCATTGGCCGATGACCTTCCTTTATTTTACTTAGGTGATCTCCTTTATTATCATTTTTGCGTGTCACAGAATTTTCGGACTAAACTTGTCACACACTCAAAACCCTATCTCAAGACGCCCCTGCTTTATCATCAACATCATCTCAAAGATATGGCTAGATTAATTACTTTACATCATACACCCCTCCTTCTCTCTCCCTTCTCTTTCTCTAGCTCCTAATTCTCTCTCCCCTTCTATTTCTGTCTCTCCTCCCCATCTCTCCCTTTCTCTCTCTCTTCTCTATGCTTCTACCGCAAAAATTCTTGTAACTTCTGTAATTCAATTGATTTCATTTCTTTTGAACCATAGTACCATACTCATTTTCGTATTAAAAAAGAAGCATAATTAAGCCTTACAAATAGATAAGTTTGTTATTTCAATTCACGAATGCCGCCATCACCTGAATTGATTTTGGAGCATTCTAGAGTGGAAAACACAACTTTCCTGTACCAGGAAGGTCGAATATCCCCCCTTTCCCGAGCCCCTCAATATTTTGGATTGAGAGCTGGTCGATTGTGGTCCGAGGACCGGTCAATGGAAGTGGTCGGTCTCATCGAATTTCCCCAATCGAATTTCAGCCCCAGTTCGCCTCTGTTCTTATTCCTGAAAAAGTCAGTTCGGGAAAGGTTTGCCCCTTTCGATGATTATTTATTTGATTTACGACTCGTTTATGTAGCTATCAATGTATAACTACTGATATCATTTTTTGAGCGTCCTTCATGAAAACGCATGAAAACGAAACTCCTGTCAAAAGCTTGGTGACATTATAGAATCGATGTGTTAGGTTATTGAGTATACTATGTCGCCATCACTCGACTTTTTGAAAATATTTCGCTTCAGCATGATACCCATTATCCTCAATTCTCTGCATATCATATTATGTATAAATTCGTATTCGGACACCTACCCCCTGGACATCCACCCCCGTATAACCACCCCAGTCAACTACCCCTAGGAAAACTACTCCTAGGACACCTACCCCTAGGATAGTTGTCCGGGGGTAGTTGTCCTAGAGGATGGTTGTCGTAGGGGTAGTTGTCTGGGGGTAGTTGTCCTAGGGGGTAGTTGTCCGAGGGTAGTTGTTCGGGGTAGATGTCCTAGGGGTAGTTGTCCCGGGGGGGGGGGGTAGTCGTCCTAGAGGGTGGTAGCCCTAGGGGGTAATTGTCCTAGGGGGTAGTAGAATGGGGTGGTTATCCGGGGGTGGATGTCCAGGGGGTAAATGTCCTAGAACTATATCAGTTATGAATTACACCAACCCACCTATGATAGGGATGGGTTGGTGATATTCAACATCGAAGGAAAACCATATAAATGTCGGGGCAAGAATGGTCCTATCTTTAACGGTAGAGGCATCACATTATAAAAAGGACAACTCCCAACTCCCAACTAAGTAATCATTTTCATTTGCCTTCACACTTACGATTCTGACTTATGTACTATTATAATATGGAAGTTATTAATTTGTAAAACGCCGATGAATGTATTTTGTTATTTCCTTGTTGACATGAAGAATCAATAAAAGAATTTTTTAAAAGTAAGTAATCTCTTTTGCATATCAATGTTTGCTTTTTTATTTTGTCACTCCCAACATACAAATCTTATCTGTTTTCATGAATAAAAAAATCATTGAAAACGATCTTCTTACAGCCTTTAAAAACACACACACAAGAACAGAATAAAACGTTTATAACGAAGATTATCCAATCAATCATGTTTTACAAGGTAATGATATCAACTAAGAAGCAGAGCGCACAGAATGATTGTAAGATTCGCAGAATGAGACATTGACAAACGACGTATAATACATCGAAACATATCGCAAAGGAATAAGGATAAAAAGAATCCGCCAGAGACACAAATACAGAAAGAAAGAGGGAGGTAGGGAAGGAGAGAGAGAGAGAGAGAGAGAGAGAGAGAGAGAGAGGTAGGGAGGGAGGGAGGGAGAGAGGGAAAGAAAGAGAGAGAGAGAGAGAGAGAGAGAGAGACAGACCTATAGAGTCATGTCACACTATGAGTGAGCTAATAATCCTTTAACCAAGACTTAATGTTATAGAGACAGGCGTCATTTATAATAGTAATTCATTTAATTAAATGTAACTTAAACAAACACATTGATCAAAATTCTTTTACAATGTCAGTCTCTACGCCTTAGTTTATGTTTACATATCACACAACTCTATGGAAAGCCAATTTTAAACATCAGTACCTGATCTCAATATTGTATCAACAACTTCACAATACTCAATATCAATTTCAGATAATTCTTAATTGGAATACTTAAAGTCGTTTTAATATTTGCACGTTTCAAAAGATGGCGAACAAGGCTTTTGTAATTGCCTGAGAGTGATATTTTTAAAAATATTTGCAATCTTGTTATTTGTACAAAATTATGAACACAGCAGCGTTATATAACTAAACAAAAACACGCACTAGACATGGGGAAACACTTCATGCTAATTTCGGCTCGGCGAGGACGTCATACTGGATAATCTTGTGCAGGATATCCACTGCAGCATCTCTATTACCTGCAAAGACATATTGTATAACGATTTTGATGTTTGCTTTCAAATCATTTTTAACATTATAATCGTCATCATCATCATCATCATCATCATCATCATCATTATCCTAATTTTCTTAATAATAACGTTTCATTGATTTCATTTTAATTAAAAAGTATAAAGACATTAACAAAAAAACATAATACAATAATAAAATATATTGATCATACAAAAGGATCACGGAAAAATAAACAAAAATATCCATAAAAAATTCAAAGGACACCCTCCCAATTCTATATTTTCATCATAACCATCTTCATCGTCACCATTGTCACTATCATCATCATGAAATTTAAAATCCTTTGTCCTGACATGCGGTTTCCACAGTATGAATCGTACCACTCTCCGAAGTAGTGCAAATGAACATCGTGTCTGTTTCTCTCTTTCTCAGCAATCTGTCTCTCTCTCTTTCCCCCCCTCTCTCTCTCTCTCTCTCTCTCTCACTCTTTCTCTCCCTCTCTCTCTCTCCCTCTCCCCTCTCACTCACACTCTCTCTCCGTCCTCGCTCCCATCTCGCTCTCGCTCTCTTTCTTTTTCGCCCTTTCCTTTCTCTTCGCGTATCTCTCCTTCTCAATGCTCTCTCTCCTCCCTCTCTGTCTACAACCCTGTCTTTTGATGAAGAAGACATGTTAAGAATGTTGTCACCGAAATATTTTTGAACGAGGTAAAACTTACCTGTAAATAGCGCAGATGCTAATTCTTGTTCCAGCTTTACGATGGTTTCTGCGAAGAGGAGATCATAATAATAATAACAATAATGATAATAATAATGATAATGATAATAATTATAATTATAATAATAAAAATGATAATAATGATGATAATTATATGATAATAATAATAGTCATAATAATAATACTAATACTAATACTAATACCAATATTACTAATCCTACTACGTCTATTACTACTACTACTACTAATAATAATAATGATGACGATGTTTAATAATAATAATAATAATAATAATAATGATAATAATATTAATAATAACAATTATAAATTAATAATGATAACTACTCTTACTACTTCTTCTTACAGTACTAATGTAGTTACTGTAGTATTTCAAACTTGGAATGACAACGGAACGAAATCCCCCATGTAAACCGCATTTGATCGTGTAAGCATATTCTACTACTACTACTACTGCTACTAATAATATTACTACTACTACTACTACTAATCCCACTACTACCACTACTACCGCTAATACCACTATTACCACTACCACTACTACTTCTACTACCACCACTACCACCACTACTACTACTACTACTACTACTACTACTACCACCACTACTACTACTACTACTACTACTACTACTACTACTACTACAACAACTACTACCACTACTACCTCTACTACTACTACTACTACCACTCCTACGAACCATAGCTACATTTACATTGCGTACATACCCACCCCAAGGGATGCTCAAGGCACATAAGCAGTACTATTTTTTATTACCTTGGCTTTAACCGAGCTCATTGTGTTTCAATTTACGAGCTTCTCATGAAATATTAAGATCTATTACATAGTTATCACAACGTTTAAGAATATGCTCACACGATAAAATGCGGTTTCCATGGGGAAATTCGTTCCGTTGTCATTCCAAGTTTGAAATTAGTGCAATAACTTGCAGATACAGAATATCAAAACAGTTTGATATAAAGGCAAAATTCATATCAAGTCAATATCCTCTGCCAGTCATTACAATTATCATTTTGTTTGCCTTATTTTCTTTCCTTCGAAGCTATTCGATACCTACCAATGTCAGGAATGGATATTTTCCCAAGACATACAATGATTTCCTTTGCGGCTTCAGATGACGTACCACCATTCTCCATCATATTACTGTAAAGAAAGAATACAATAAATCAAAAAAAGTACAGATAATTTAGCCAAATTGATATACATTTGGGAAAGTGAGTCTACTTTAATAGGGAAACATGGAGTTAACAATGTACACTGTTGCTCATAAAGTTGGAATATTTTTGTTTACCCCAATTTATGGAATTATTTTGACAATGATTTATTCCTAATAGATCTAGACAATAGCATACATTCTCAGATTTTATTGAATAATAATTTGCCAGTGTTTGTTTTGCATGAATGCTAAAGCATGTGTATGCTACTATGCTTATCAACTAGGGGACCTACGCCCTTAAGTCATAAATGACAGTAATGAGGATTAATGCCCCACAAAAGGGCACTAATATAGCACAGCGACACAGTTTTGATCCTGGGGCCTCACAGTGACGAGGCCATTGCTTTGCCACTGAACCATGACTGTACGCAGCGGGGGCTATAGGGTAGGGGACAGTTCCCACAAATAAAAAAATAAAAAAGAAAATGCAATAAATGTTTAATAATTCATTGAATTTTCCCCCGGTCCCCAACACAAACAAATCTTCTGTGTGCCCATGCCTTGAGCCATGATGCATGGCCGTACAGAGGAATTTTTTTATGTTGGGGACCGGGGTAAAATGCAATGAATTATTGATAACTCTTATGTTCAAGTTTCATGGAACAGGAATGTATACTTACAAAATTATGATAAAAATTCAAAATCTCAACCTGAACCCACAACATAGTCTAAGTTTGTTGACCGGAAATGACATTTGCCCTTGACTTAGTGACCTACTTAGTCTACCCACATGGTCGGGGGTACTTGATGACCGTTTAGTATAAGTTTCATTGAATAATAAGTTATACTTTCAACATTATATTAACAAATCAAAAACTTAACCTCAGGTTAAGTTTATGTTAATATGCCACAACATAGTCTAAGTTTGTTGACCTTAAATGAACTTTGATCTCGACTTTGTGACCTGAAATTCTTCTCACATGATTAGGGGTACTTGATAACCCTTTAGTCCAAGTTTCATTGAATAAGAACTTATCCTTTCCAGATTAAATTAACAATTCGTTAAGTTTATGGTCACAGGAAAAGCGGCGCCTAGTCTCGCTTTTTGCTACGCAGGTGAGACAATAAAACTATTTTTGGAAAAGTACAATTTTATCGAATGTCTTCCTTTGCTTTCTTTCAGAATATGTATATTGACCGTGTTTACGCACTCGTCAATTCAATAAAACTAAACTTTTTAAACTGCAAGTACCAAATCATAGTTTGGAACTCATATTACCTGCCGATTTCTACACAGCTGACAGCATCATCGGTTCCTGAAGCACTAGCAAACTTTGGAGCCGAATCGGGATTTTCTTTAGGCGAGTCTTCGACCGAACGCTAAAAGAAAGACATTACAAATAGAAAGAAAAAAAAAGAATAATGTAATGTAACCCTCTTTGTAAATACATTTACAATTTCTACTGCTTAGTTCGAGTTATTCTTGAACATTTCTCCCCATTTCGAGGCCCTTCTACATCTGCACTTTTGACGGCATCCATTTTACTTCTTCGACATTATAATAACAGTGTAATAACATTATAACAAAACCGGATCACTTAAGTAGCATTCAATCTTTTCTTGGCCCTGCAACATAAAAGTCGACTAACAATCTTATTGTAAAAAATATTGTACATCTGATCTTGCTGCAATTAATTGAATCTTAAGTAAGTAATAATAGTAATAATGATTTAATATTTTTATAGCACAAATATCCACCACACAAGTTGCTCAAAGCGTTCCAATATTACCCTGGCTCTGTTAGGCTACCATTTCGGTTTCGGTGCTCACACCATTCAACAATTAATTCCTAACAGGACTACCCATCTAACACCTGGGTGGAGCGTGGTAAATGTCGATTAATATCTCGCAATGCATAGTTTGCATATTTACTATGAAATAAATCGTAACTTACTATGTGTTGTAAATCTACGATTGATTGGTGAAGATACGATTAATTCGAACAAGATACGATAAATTATAACTCTTTGTGACACCGGGCCTAGCCCTCTCCAAATGCTTCCAGAAACAAAGTTAATCGTGAAATGGATTTACCATGTCCTTATTCGGCAACAGTAATCGGTTCACTATTGAGATCTTTCTTTACAATGCTCAAAGAGACTTATATACATTGAGTTATTTTGAGTTATGCAAAAAGGGAATGTTTCGCGCAGTCAGGTCCACGTTCTAACCGACTCTGGATTTAAATTCGAACTAAAGTCAATTTTGAAATTTCGAAATTTAGGCTAGGTTCTCTGATTTTTTCCCTTTGTTTTTGAGTTAGTCACTGCGCCGAGCTCGCTTTAATGGTTTACACTCATTTGGTAAGATCAATTGTTTAAACATTTGCAATGGAACACTGCCACCATTTATTTTCTTCTTACAAAGAATCTGAGAGCAGATCCAGGATTTTGTAAAAGAAGGGGCACTATAATCTGACAAACCAACCAAGGAAACAAGAAGGAAAAAAAAAAAAAAAATTAATAATAATAGTCATTTCTATAGCGCCGTCTATCTAGAAATTCTATTCCGAGGCGCATTATTATTACCCCGGCTTTAGCCTAGCTGCCTTTACAGAGCTCCAGCTCCAGCATTTCAATTTCAAGGAATTAATTCCTGCCAGGTACCCATTTACATTAACATCACCTGGGTTGAGTGTGGCAAATGTAGATCAATGTCTTGCCAAAGGACATTAGTGCCGCAGCGGGAGCCGAACCGCGTACCTTGTGACACCTCTACGGGGAGGGGATATGCACATTCCTGGGGTTGTGTCGTAAAGCTTTGCCATTTGGGTTTCAAAGAAGGAGGAGGGGGAGGGGGGACACGGATTTGTTGGGCCCCTAACCATCCACCAGTGGTTCATTGGTTGATATTTGGTAAAAAATATACAAGGAAGATATTACGTAACATGTTACTAGTGACAAAATGTATTCATTCTCTAATATTGTAATAATTCAACCCCGGTAAAATCAAGTTAATACATCATAACTCCTGAACCTCATGATATCTATGGAATTTACTTCCTGACTTTGTCAAACACACACACACACACCCATAAGCACACCCACAAGCACACCCTCACGCACACGAAACACACACACACACACACACACACACACACACGCACGCATTCACGCACGCACAGACATACGGCCTCAAACCATCCAAAATCAAGGAATAGTCAATTTAGCGTCGGTTTCTCAAACTTAGAAAACCTTTTCTACGGTAGATTTTCCCACTCTCTGAGTCGAGCGGCACGCAACCTTGCTTTCCCCGTCACCATAGCGACGGTAAAAACATCACTCTCATATTACTCACAAAAAGTACCTCTTTGGTAGTGTTACAATAAACAGAAAATCGCTAAAAATTCAAGTTTAAATAAATCATCATCAACCTGAGCTTCCTCTTAAAAGCTATACACTCATTACGGTTCATTTGTACTTTTTTAAAATTTATAATCGTTATCAAAAATGACCAACGAGAAAACGTGGAAACAACACGATCCGATTTACTCAATCAATCTGAAGTCCTCATCTATTAGTGCATTGCCCTTATGTACGAAGATTAGGTTGGTATTCGCAGGGTTTCTGAGCACAGGAATATCCACCATGCTCTCTCTCTCTTCAATATTTTGTTCTTCTTTTCTGAGCATCAGGTGCCCTTATTAACCCTTTTCGTATATTCTCTTTAAGTAGTCTATAAACTGCATCTCACCAATCAAGAAAGTAAAGAAAAACACACTTTCAATCGATCGTCCAACTTCTCATAAAAAAATCGTCAAACTGCAATGGAGCTGTTAAAATATTTTTGGACAAACTTACAAAATTTTTCAATTCATATAAAAGCGACCTTATAAATTTGTAAGTGTCTTCTTCTTTCTTTTTTCTTTTTTTTGGGGGGTGACGTTTCAACCTTTTGTATATTGTATTATTGTAAATTAAGGACTTGACAATGGAGAATACAGGAGGGAAAAGAGGAGACTATTCAGTCATATGACAAAATATTTGTTTAAATTGTCCTTTAAATCTACCCCTGATCACATTTTAAAAACAATTTCCAACATTTTCAAATTATATTTCCCCCCCCCCCCACTCAGAAGAGTATTTATCCGTTCGCTTGCGTTTTTTCGTCATGAAAGAATAAGGGAGCCCTACATTCTATGCAGTACCCCTCCCAAATCTCTTTTAATATGTTCTATTTTGTTTGTTATAGCGCTTAGAGACTTCGGTGGTAAGCGCTTTATTAGTAACGTTTTTATTATTAATGCTTATAAAGCCCACTCTGCTCTATGGTGTATTTAGAATGATGGAAAACTACACGAATCTAAAATTTTGGTAAGTTCCATGCATTGCATACTATTCGGATTTAAATACGATAATAAATAACGGATGTTCATTGTTACACCCAACTGTTACCCAAAAAGTTATTTCGAAAAAAAATATTGGAATCCCTGTCGTTCATTGTTGTTGATGTTGTTTTCCTCCAATGGACTACTGTCATGAACTGACAATGACTGACAAAAATTCATTTGTTTTCCCTTAGTGGTGTTTCTAGTTGGAGTTGAAAGAAATACTGTCATTTTGTTCATAGATGTCGTACCAACTATTATAACACTCTATGCATCCATGTCGTTTTCACCAGGAGCGTAGACATGTAACTATGGTAACGTATCGTTGGTATGGTATTGACGCTGTTAACGACAGACTATTGGTTGTTTGAACGCACCAATCAGAATATTTCTATGCGACTATTCCTCTAGCAGCTCCTCTCTATTCACCTATAAGTATCAATATCATTCTGCAGTGATATTATAATCTATTGGCTTGGATATTATGGATGTTGGAGCTCAAAAGTTGTTATAATCTTCTTAACCAATGCTTTGTTCTTTTCAGATCAAGATCGATATTAGTTATTACGAGGTTTTTGTTGTCTTTTCTACCAAACTGGTGAGTAATGATTGACGAAATATTCGCCCTTTAAAGATGATTTATCCTCCATCATTATGCATATGACTATTAGGTAAAGCTTTGATAAATGGTGCTCTCATTCTTGTTCAAACAGATATAGTGCATTTTGTTGGACAACACATTATTCAGGTATTTTGTCAAAATCTGGTTAGATTCATGATTACCCTCACATTCGGCACTTTTAAAAAAAACCCTAGGATTTCAAAAATGTGAACCATTGAAATAGTATCATGTATTGCAAAGACTTATTAAAGGTGAAATTCAAAGAAAATCACAAATATGTCAACTAATGTATCACTAGAGACTGGTAAGCTAACAGATGGCCATTGTACATGTTTTAGGTCAACTATATATCGGGTGATTTATAAAAATACATATACAACCACCTCCATAGCAGCTGGGATATACGAGAGATTCGCCGGAAAAATAACGATGTTTTAATGAGGTCACTATATGGACCAACACTGCCCAAGCAGACGACATCCCATAAAGAATGAACATAATTGCAAAGCTATTATTTGTCAAATTATAATGAGTTTAGTGTTTATAAATGTAATGGCATGTCAAACCATTCAAAAGGGGATATGACCCGATTCTGATATAAATACACAGGATACGGGTTAATTAACAATCAAAGAAACCAGACTTTCAAATTGAAAAAACCCCGGAATGATATTAAGGACGGCATTTGTTCCCTCTTGAAACGCCGAACATACCCCGGTGTGTGCAGCTGAATATACAATGGCGTCTTATTTTGTTTACAAGCGACAGATTTCTTAATTTTTTTATCGCTGCATTTGTCATCAAAATAAAACCAAGGGCGGGGTTTAGAGTGAGGCAATAGATTATACATTTAGCCTGACGGTAGTGAAGTAAGAGAAAGAACTCGAGAAAAGATGAAAACACAGGCACTGAAAATGTGTGAGATGTCATGGGACATCGTCTGCTTGTGCAAGTCATGTCCATACTGTGATCTCACATATTTCAGTAGCGTTCGGAGAGCTCCTCAGGTGCTATGCCGGGGCTGTATTTAAGCGTTTTGTAATTTATAATAATCATTACTTCGAATGTTTCCAAGCATTGAATTTTGATAAACTTTTTAAATCAAAGTTTCAACTTTGCAATAATGAAAAAAAGTTAGTTTTTAAAATCAATGAATATCTACTTTAAGAATACATTCACAAAAGTCTAACAGAAATCTGAACTTGTATGATAAAATAACGATTATTGTTATCATCACTATCTTTCCTTTTTTAGCACTGAGCATGGAACAGAAGTATGTTTTGAAATGTACCTATGGCATCGTAATCTGCCTGTCCATTGGTAAATATTGCTTTTCACATTCATAAAGTAGGAAATTTTGTAATTCCTCTTGAGAAAGTGAAATGTTATTGCTTACTGTCATTCTCACACATTTTAGTGGCGAAATGGCATCAAAATTATATACAAATAGATTGACCTTTTTTTTCTCTCTATAGGCTTAGCTCCTTGGCTTAGTTTTATACTTTGCCTTCGGGACCATATCGTTTTCATCAAAAAACAAAACACGTTAACCTGCTTTTAATCCCCACATACTCATTAGTCATTGTATTTCCTATCCTTTCTTGCCAATTCCTCCTCTCCCGCCCATCCCTGCCCTCCCTTATATCCTCCCATTAACTTTCTGTTCCACTCCTCTTCCACTTAAAGATAAACTTGAGTACTGGTAATGCGATTGCATTGTGAAAGAAAAGGTGCGGAATGGATCAGAAAAGTTGATCATATAGCATGTAAGTAATGGTGTGTAATGCAAGGTTCTAGAGTCATCAAAATCATCATAAATTTGGCAGAGTCTTGGTAAAGTAACAATCACTTACACAGATAGATGTATATGGGACAACACACATGGTGTCGGGGCTAGTACTACCCTGATTTCCTTATCTTTCTATGCTCATTACTCAGCCAGTATACATTTTCTTCCAAAATTGTTTGGCACATGACATTTATTTGTAATCTTGAACATTCAGTGTAAGTTTCGTTAGATTCTGTGAGAATTCATTTTCTTTTTTTACCAGAACTCAAGTTTATCTTTAATTGTCATGTCTCACGTCACACGTGTGTTACTGCAGATTTGGATGGGGTTGTAAAGATCCTCCTTAAAAATGCCAATTTCCCCTCCATTTCCCTCTGCCTCAATATTTTTTCTATTCCTCTATCTTGTTAAAGGGGTTCCTTAGTTGCTCTGTAATAGAAGATCAAGATAATGCCCTTGATTATGAATATTATTTGGTTGATTATGAATATTATTTGGTTGATTATTGAATTTAATGTATTCACCACTTTCATAAAAACATGCAAAGTCAAAGAATACAATAATATATATTTCTTACTAACATAGATAAGCCAAATAAATAGAAAATACACTGAGAGCAAATTATTGAATTTTGAATAATCAGTTTTATGCCTTTTCCATACTATATAATCTACCTAAAAGTGAAATCTCTCAATATAAGGTGTAGAAATCGATACTTTATGCCATGTAGGAGTTGGTCTCGAACATCAGATCTTCGTCATGTTAGTAGATAAAATGAAATAAATAAAGAAAACAAAATTTCATGAGAAAAGTGATTGGAAAAGAATACGCGAAAGATTATGACCTAACGGAGAAATGATACTGGATCTATACGAATTAGGTCATCACATGGGTAATATCTAGGATAGTCTTATGAAGAGGGAAAAGAAACATATGCAACCATGGTAACTACTCTGCTTGTATGTCTTCCCCACAGCCCCACTAGTGTCGTCGGATGCAAGCATGAATGAGACAAAGACTTGTTGTACGGACATATTCGGCCTGAATTACACCTTACCAATGTTCTTTGAGTGTCAGAAGAAAGGACATCCCAATGGCAGTACGGTACAAACCATCCCAAAGCTTATCCCTAATTCATTCAAAGAAGGCGGTTGCCCCAGAAGGGAGAGTAAACTTGGTGTTCCTCCTGGACTTCGAGTCTGCAGATTCCCGGGTGATTATTTTTCCTCTCTGTGGCTTTTTCTAAAATCCTTTGCAGAGCTTGCCTTCTTTTGTTTGGACTTTAAGAAAATGTGTATCTAGGAATAGACTAGGATTACAATTAGTAAATTTTACAACTATTTTTTTTCTTATTCAAGAAACCCGGGGAATTCTAATTAAAGGGATGCTGTTTTTTCTTTATTAATGTACATTTTTATTGAATATGTTTGCAGATTGCGACATGAATCCATGTGAAAACGGCTGGTGTGAAGAGACTATGACCGGATATAGATGTCACTGCCCTATCGGATTTCAAGGAAAACAATGCCATGAACGTAAGAACAAAGATAACAAATTGCATTTCATATCTTTAGGGTATAATGAAACCATCAATCACAATTCAGTTACCACTATATAGAGACAAGTAGTTAACTTTTTTTCTTCAGTTCTTTTGGCAATCGTGCACTTTATGACAAAACTACGATTGGATGTTTGTATAAAATGAACTTCGGATTAGACTTGGAATTTCAAAAATATAGATTGGCCGATCTCGAAATGCTATAGACTCAAATCTTGGAAATCACCACCCGTTGTCGGCCGTGGGTGGTCGTCGGTCTTAAGGGTATGATGATGCAAGGTGAAATGTTTGAAAATTTATATCAAGATCCCCCACCCACTTTCCTGTTTATTTTATTCATTTCACAAATGTTTTCTACCAATCTTTAAACTAGTTGACACAAATCAGCCCGCAACGACCAAGGGAATTGTTGTTACCTGTGTGAAGGATATCACAGTAACCGTTGAGCTTGGTACCCCGAATAAGTCGGTAGAGTTCACCCCACCATCGGCTGTCAATACAGAAGGAACTGTCGTCCTGGTCTCTCAGAACTATAAATCGGGTGATGATTTCCCAGTCGGGTCAACTCTCGTTGAGTACATCTTTGCTGATGAGAGCGGAAACCAAGCATCTCCTTGTACCTTCAACGTCAACGTAAATACTGGTATAAAGGAGAGCATGTTTTGCAATTTGGCATTTTCACCTACTTTATTCATGATATTGTGTAAAGCAAGATACTTGGTCTTAATGAGCACGCTCTTTTAAACTTTAATTTGAGAAAGATGGAGAGATGTTCGGGTCGATACAAACGAAATACCAATGAAATTGATGATTCATCAACTAAATCATTCGAAAGGTTCAAATGAAATGCTCAATCACTTTTGAGTCAGTTTGTCTGAGGATGAACCTATTACGGATGGACATTTCAACGATTCAACGGGATTCTTTCTTTGATCCAAAGATAGTCACCGCCAACTGATTATGTGCATCTTAATGAGAACATTCAGCTGTTTTTAACAATAACGACTGCGTAAGCATTTTCAGTCATTGACAAAGGAGCAGTTTCCCTCTTAGGTTTTGTTTGGATGGTGTGCTCTGTGTGAGTGTGTCTTAAATAAAAACATCCCCAATGGGGAGCAGCAAAGTTGAAAAGCAGACGATTTTGGAGATATGAAATTTATTATTACTGATTTGCACACTTTTGCACGCACCAATGACCTTATACAACAATTAGAAGGTCATGATCTTTATAAGCCCTGTGCGTTGTAATTCTAGAATATTATGAGGAAATTGGGGAAAACGGGATTTTAAATCACAAACCATCCAAACAAAACCTATCTGGTAATATCAACATGTTTTTCGAAAATAGAACACAGTCCACGGAACAACAATTTCCAATTATTAACCAGAACTGCACATAGATTTCCCATGATTTAAGCGATTTATTATCTTCTGCGCATGAAGATTAACATGTTTAAAATCACTATCTTGATTCTGTCCCGGCTTATTGGCGGTGACCATCATGAGATCAAAGTGAAGATACATGTACGGAATGTTATTGAGACGACATTGACGTAGACAATCACAATTAATTCGTTAAGAAACGATGAATGTCCATTCGTAATAGGTCCATGGTCTGAGCCCATGATGGTTTGACCGGATAACATACCATAAGACACAAAACTACATTCTTATTATGTCTTCATATCACAGTCGATACCACCCCTCCAGTGATACAATCCTGCCCTTCTAACCAGACATTCTCGGTTCTCAAAACCACCACACCAATCGCTTGGACACCACCAACAGCCAGTGATGCGTCTGGAATTGCATTCATCGTCGCTAACTATGAACCTGGGGTTAATGTCCTCGTGAATAGCTCCATCGACGTCTTTTACACTGTGATCGACAACAATGGCCTTGTAAACACAACTTGTTCTTTTAACATCGCCCTTGTATCTGTAGGTATGTCGTGTGATTTTTGTTTGATAGTACTGCAAAGATTTTTGTGTATAGCCTACAAGTCCATATTACCTGAATTCTATGCTCATAGAATTTTAGTAAAAACGAAGTTGATGCTACTTTGATAGCCATCTGTCACTGTTTCACTCAGTTCAATGATGAGTCGAGGTAACGCTTTCGTAGCACCCATACTTTCGCAAATTCAACATAAGGCATTTCCAATTGCCTTGTGCGCCACGGACGGTAGTAAAATGTGCAAACATGACAATGACGTATTATGTAATCGAAACATGACTCACGAGGAATGTACAATAGGATTTTAAAATTGCGTTTGAGTTAATTATTTTCTTAAGTAATTGCGTTAATGTTTTTTGGTGTCATGTCATTAAATCAAAGCCTTGAAAGCCAAAGACCCTTGAACACGTACTATCGCCACCAAAGTGATTACAGTTTTCTCCTCAACTCGTTAACTTGATACTGTATTGAACAATGTCGCCAGGCTAAATAAAAGGCTTAAACATTTTTTACATTATTGTCAAGCTCCTTGGTGCAGAGTGTATCAAATTTATTTCCTGTCGTAAATTTCAAATTAGAACATTAACAACTAAATCTAAATGCCTTCTTACCCTCCGACGAATGTGATTCCATATCTATAGGTATAATGAAACATCTGATAGCATAATTACTTCACATTTAAATTGTATCGATACGAATAATATGTAAGTACTGTCATACCACTGCTAAGGTATCACTAGACAATCAAAAATATGGCCGCTGTAGACAGGTGGCCTTCCTAAACAGATACAGAAGTGACCACAATAAAATATTATTGTGACTATATACTCAATTAACTATCGTCAAAGACATCTCTTTCTTGAAATCAATTCCGTCAAAATACCATTTGATCTCGATTACCGAAATGCTTTCAATATTCATTGGTTCTTCAGAGACGGAATGGGAATGCACGTCTTCGAAATGCTACCGCTTTGATGGAAGGACGCTGAAGTGGCAGGACGCTCATGACTTCTGCCCGACCCTTGGACCGATAACCACGGTGGCAGGAGAGAGGACACCAACCCTCCTATTTGCAGGTACAGAAGAAGGGTCCCAGCTCGCCATACTCAAAGCCCTATTCAGGAGCGTATACGTACCTGTTGTATGGATCAACTGTAATGAAATGGAAACCGAAGGATTGTATATGTGCGACGTGGGTGGTACGGAAGCTGTGCAGATTAATTCAACCAGTAAGAGTAAGTTTAATCGCGCACGTGTCGCGTAGTCCAATATACATCTTTCTGTGTACAGTGCTTGTAATTTACCCCAGACTAGGCCAAATTTCTTATCATTTTGATGATTCCAGAACCTTGCAGTACACACCAAAATGCTAAATGGTCAACCCCTTCTGATCGATTCCACAACGTTTCTTTCACAATGCAATCGCATGACCAGAACTGACCTTTACCTTTAAGTGTTATTTTGAACTGGAATTTGTATTATTCAATTTTTTTTTTTTTTTTTTAAATTGGAGATCAATACATGAAACGGAGGGGTGCCTTCATAACGTCGTGTGATTTTTGTGTATTCTAAAGATCTTGCACCTCTGCTCTACAAACCGAAAACTATCAGAACCACCCATTCAAAGCACAACTGAAAACGTATCTGCGTGGTGCTGTCCCATGGTGCCGGCTAAGCCTATAACGGGCCCATATCGTTCGATTTCAATGACAATTAAGTGGTGAAAATCTCTCTGGCCGCAAAGATTTGATTTTAAATTTTTCCACCGTGTCCTCAACGTTTCCATTCCGTCTCCATACCGGGTCCTTAACGCTTACAACGTCTTCATACCTATAGTGTCACCGTGTTGGTCGTTCCCTTTCCGGTTCTTCGCCGGGTCACTCACCGGGTGGGTACCGGCCGCTTACGGGCCGGAACGGAACGCACCCATACCGTCGGCTAAACGTTCGCTCAGCCTTGAAGACGTCACACCGTGTATAGAATCTGGGCATTCTCCCGGCCGATCACACTTTAGTTCTCGAGTTCACGGATGTATCGCTCTTCTCAAAATTCTTCATAATTTCTCAAAATGCCTACACAATGGGAGGAAAGCAGCTGGCAGCTAAGGGAGGGGTAAAGATAGGAAGCTTCACGATCTGCAGGAAACAACAGAGGAAGCATGTGGCAAAATATGGAGTCACGGTGTCTTGCAGGTTCGATCTGAACGGGCGCAATGTAAAATACACGGCAACAGGCCGGATATAGAGACGTTATGAGGACGGTGGAACGTTAGGGGATGATTAGGTTGTTAAAAGAGCGGTTGAACGTTAATTGACCGGCGAGCTAGGCTGGTATGTAGCCGGTATGAGGCGGTGGCTCAACGTTGAGCGATCGGTGAGAGCCCGGCGAGAACCCGACCGGAACGAGGCCGGTATGAACACGAAAACAAGTTACCCGTTTGACAAAATATGACACGGCGTCACTGCCCCACGAACGGGTCCATACCGCCCTCGTACAAGCCCACCGTCCTGTACCGCCCTCTTACCGCCCTCATACCAGGTTCTCGTCGTATAGGTACAAGTGGTGGCACAAGCCTGGTATCCCCGGGTCTCACCGGCCACTAACGGGCCCCACATGCAGTGTTCACCGACCGTTTAACGCCCTGCCGTGTGCCCTCACCGTGTTCCATCGTCCGCACGATATTTACCACACGGTAGGCTTAGCTGCCGCTAATATCGGACAGCTCCTTAAAGTTTACTGTCTTTACCTATGAATTAACTGCAAATCTATTTTCATTGAACTTACATTGCATTGCATATCCTGTTTATCCACGGTGTCGTACTTTATCGATTGTTCCGAATGACTGCGTTTTATAAGTGTATGTATAGTATTACATGTATTATTAATAACCTCATTGGGAGTAGAACGCATAATACTATAATAAATTATTTCTCCCCTTTTAGATTGGGAAAGCGGTTACCCAAGCGGCAACGGAAATGAAAAATGTGTATTAATGACTGAACAATACAAATGGCGTGGAAGTGGCTGTAATCATGATCTCCTCTCAATCTGTCAGATCGTCTTATAAAGGACCGTCGGTGTTTTCCAGTCACGAAAAATATTTAGGCAAATAATGCACTGATTGCACCAGACTGAAAGAACGAGTACAAGAGACAGGGAAAGACGTGTAAAATATATACAAACATCAAATTTGTATTAAAGATTTTGCTTTATCTTTATTTTCATTCCTTTTTTTTCTTCTCGAATTTATTGGCATTATAATTATTTTTTATTTGTTTTAGCATTTAAGCGTTTTTTCAGTCTAAATTTACACTCGAATCCACTGCTCGAATCTATTGTGCTTCAATTTCATTTTAAAATGAAATATTACGTTATGCTTTGTTTATATCCACCTTATGAAATCTGTATAATATAGGTCTTTTTAATTGTCATTAATACATTCTGATATTTCGTTTACATTAAAGAAGTTACACTTTATCACATATTCAATAGGCACACTATAATTTAAATGCTCAAGAGTAGATCATGTCAAAATGTAAATGTAAAATTATTTTATATTGATCGATTCATACTATCTTGTAGTTTTACTGATTTAAATTTTTTTTAAATATACTTTTCAGTTTTATATCTGTAACATCAGAATTTTTAAATGATTAATTTCTTCCCAGAAATATCATATTTTCACCATATTTCTTATAATATGAAATTCACTTCCCACAATATGTTTTCTTTTGTTGAAAAAGTGCCAATTATGCTAATATGGCAGTTTTTCAGTCTCATGATTTTGTATTTTCCTTTCTCGAATATTGAATTATGTGTACACACTCGAAAGTGAGAATTTTATTTTCTTCCTGTATAATCGTAAAAGCTTCATATATTATTACCAAACAAACAAAATATGCGATTTAGTTCGTAATAAAGCTTTATGTGATGTAATATTATTTCAAGCTCGATTATGTATTGCATGGAAATAGTTAGTTTTAGATAGATTTTACACATAACAAGTTGTGATTGGTCCACAGCGCGTCACATATATTGATTGCGAATATCGTAATTGGCATATTTCACTTCTGGTCATTTTAGATGTTATATTGTCCACTTGGTGATATGGGTATGGGTGGTATTCCGGTAGCGCGTACTATTAAGTTAGCGCGTACTAAGTTAGTCCACACTTTTATGGCGTGCCTGTTGCCAATTCATTTACCCTGTACAGAATATTTTAAAATCTTTAATGAAAAGTGTCCACAAAATTAATTTTTGCAATGAAATGGGAAGTAAATGTTAATGTGAGTATGAACTGAATTTCAACAAAGTCTTTGGTAGATTATCTTTTTCATGAATATTGAAGTAGAGGAAGATGAAATCTAGCATTCCATAGAAGTGTGTACTAACATTCTTGTTTAGTCTAGACTTAATAAGTCCCGTCTTAACTTATGAGAATACCACCCTTTAGTGTTGCGTCATCCAAGCAACGCTGCGCGCAATAAAGCACAAACACATTTACCGTTTCCTTGTCGCGCGCCGGCCAATAACACACCCTCAACGCTGAACCGGTAACAGTAGTTCTTGCCTCTCAATAGAGACTTTTAGATGTGCATGTCAACATAGTTGGCTGCTACGTGTGACCAGCCACGTAGCCAAGCAACCGCGACCAACCAAGATCGGTTGAACTTTTTTAGATCCCTTTTTTTTTTACCTCGATCGATTACATGTATGTGCCCCCCCCCCCCCAAACATCAAACTATGGCTACGGGCCTGCGTGTGACGTCCTTTAAAGGCGCACGTCCCACGAAGCAGTCCACTATGTCGACGTGCACATCTAAAAGTCCCTATATCTGTACCATGATGGTTGTGTTGGGGACCGCGCGATGAGTGGAGACACCGTGCTTTTTAACGACCCCTTTTGATGAAGCATAAATGGTGAGTATGGCCCGCCTTGGTGGTATGCTGTTTTGTGTTTACACAGGGGGAAAAGGCGAGTCTAGTCCTGGTCTAGTTCTCGACCCTTTTTTTTTTACTTTTTTTTATTCGCCGACTATAAGCGTTAAGCCGAGTGATGGCGCGATCCTTTTTGACGGCGTCATCACTCGGCTTAACGGTTATAGTCGGCGAACTAGACTAGTCTAGTCTCGGCTCGCGGAGTTAGACTTGAGGGGTAACTCCCCAGGCCGCGGGTCCGTGTGTAAAAAGGCAATATAGTTTGCATTGTCAGTACAGCCTCGTGCATTATTTTTGACGCGAAAAGTGCGAATATTTTCATTCGTTGAACGATTAACGTTCTATTGAACTCATAAACATTTATTATTTGTATAATATTCAATACAATTTCATTTTCGATGACGTAACACCCATTTCATTTTCCAGGTGTCATTCGTACAAAGGCGTATTATGTTATTTTTCCGGCGAATCTCTCGTATATATATCCCAGCTGCTATGGAGGTGTTTGTATTTGTATTTTTATAAATCACCCGATATGTAGTTGACCTAAAACTTGTACGACGGCCATCTGTTAGCTTAATTACCAGTTTCTAGTGATACATAAGTTGACATATTTGTGATTTTCTTTGAATTTCACCTTTAAGGATCATTTCTTAATGTTTGTCATAATCTCTTGATAAACGCATTCGTGACCTAATAAAAACTGTAGGATTTTAAGCATGAAACTTCTCTTCTTCATCATTTTTTGCGTGGACTTAATATCGGATATGAATTTGTTGTACACACACACGTACGCACGCACACATACACACCTCCACGCACGCACGCACACGCACACACACACACACACACACACACGCACACACGCGTACACACGTACACACACACTCACACACCCACACACAAACGCACACACACACAAACACATTAAGACTTCGCATAGGCCTACTTTGTAGAGCGTGGGTACGCGTTGTTGCTGGTTGCTGACCAGATGACGGGCGATAGACGCACTGCCACTGCTGCTGCTTCCGAGACTGCCCGGCGGTGCTACGATGGTGAAGATGAAAGCCATGACCACGCTGCCGACCAGGAGAACGATGAGGAAGAGAGCGGTGGCGATCTCACATGGTTTCCGCTGGCTAAGGCTGGATAAGGAAACGAGGGAAAGATACAAGATGATGGAGGGATCAAACAAGATGATTCTGAAACTGCAGAACACCCCATTACACATCAGTAGGCCTACAGTGCATGGTTAGGGTTAGGGTGAAGGTGAGGGGTTAGGATTAGGATTAGGGGTAGAGTTCGTGTTTCACTTCTGTGGTGGAGGTATTCTTCAGTTGTTCCCAAAATCATATTCATATCTTGATCAGTTGATCATGTAATTCATATCTTCTCAGAACTGATCCATAATTATATGAGCATCATACAAGGCAAATAGACAGTGGATGTTTGCGTGTGCCTAGATTTCACACTGATTGTTATAAGTGTAGCCCAATTGTTTCTTCCATATTTGAATGGAATAAGCTAGATAATTCGTTGAGAACGGCTTCCTCTGTCAATTCATTTAAGAGATTGTTTAAACAAAGTTGTAATTTGTGAATGGCTCAGCCGAACATACACTATGTGCATGTTCTGTAATATTAACATGACTTATTCACATGACTGCGACTTAATTAATATTTTCCTATTGACATTACTGTTTACTAGGTTAATGATATATGTTTATTTTGCAAACGAGTATTATTTTTGTAACTGTTCTGTATAAATGTTATAAACGATGTAAATATGTTCATTCAGGGCTCCATGGAAGACCACTACTTGCTGGTGAATGGGCTACCCTGTCAAAAGAATAGAAATAAATAAATAAATAAATAAAGTTGTGGAAAGATATAAACCTAATTATCTATCGAGAATAGATCATTATGTCACGATAATTTCGTCACAAATATTAAACTCTACCCCTAATCCTAGGATAAGGATTAGGGGTAAGGTTCGTGTTTCACCTCTGTGGTGGAGGTATTCTTTAGTTGTTCCCGAAATTATATTTTGTCTAACTATATGTAAAGGGTATATTGCTGTGTATCATATAAACTGTTATTTACACTACCCAATTCAATTCAATTAAAAAATGTTTTTTATTAGAGCACAAACATGGTTCATACAACTACAATTTTACATGAAAGACAGCCATGGCTGGAATATTCATGTTTACATGTTATGCCCAATGAGATATATACATGTAAAAACCTAGCAATATAAAAATATGACTTAGACTCTGTAATTAAAAACCATAAACACATGGCACAAGTTATCAAAAATACAACAAAAACATGAGCTGTTATATTTCACAAATTTCCTATTGTGTCATAAAGTCAATCAGGCATGGTAAAAGGATTAAAATACTGAGGTACATTCAAGACAGCCGAGGGGGGAGGGGGGGGGGGGGGGGGGAGAAGACAAGCACTCAGTACACCTGCAATAACGATACAAGTATTGTATTTTTAAAAGTTTTTCAACTTTTGTTGAATATGTCAAATAAGAATGACAGTGAGCTTTTAAAAAAGAATTTTTGTTTTGAATTGAAAGTTGGAACAGATTTTTCTTTCCTCTGTTCAAGAAAATAATAGTGACAATTCAGTTTTGATATATGAAATTCATAATCTTCCCAGAACTGATCAATAAAGTTCTGAGAAGACATACACTTTATCTCTGGAGAATATATAAATATGTCACAATTATTTCGTGACAAAGGGTATGTAAGAAAAAAATATTCAAACATTTCTGGAAACGTTGTATTTTTGATAGGAGCTCATGAGACATACCCTTCTCATATATATATATATATATATATATATATATATATATAGTTTCCATTTTATTAGTATTTGGCCCTCTTAATTTTATACGTTCGGACTAATTTTGTCAAATGTAGTTTTGATCTGGTTATTATAATTATTTCTTTATTGCAACCAAAACTTAAGGTTGGATTTCAAATAAAAATAAAAGTACAAAAAGATTGATAACAATGTTGAACATAATTTACAAAAAACTGTAGAGCCTGATACAAAAAATATATGAATAACAATGTGCTACAATCAAATTATACACATTGTCAAATAAATTAACATAAGCTAATGAGTAAATTATTGCATAATAATTGTGTTTAACCTCAGGAGTAATAATATTAGGGTACGTATGTCTTTAAAATGAGCAGTTTATAAAGAAATTGATAATAATAATGGATGAAAAAGTAAAACGCAGGTTGCAAAAATTACATATACTGATTTCGAATCGACCTTATTTAATGTGAAGGGGTAATGTAATATTAATACCAGGTTTTGTTAAACTTGAAGAAAGGTCATTCTAACAAATGTTATGAGCAGTGGGGTAGAATTATTTCTCTCAAAATGCTTGTTGACTTTTGAGGTACATTTTTTATGGCGCTAGTTTTGTCAAGAAAAGGTAATGTGTATTTCCTTGTTTTTGCTTGTTATTCAAATACATGAGTTTGTATTTATTTCATTTTTGTGATGACAGAATGTCATATTTTAAAGCCATGTTCTATCTATACCTAATAATTATCAACTATGTGTTCTTAGGGACGTTGCGCTTTGAACATTTTTTGTTTATGCACTGTATATCTCGATGTAACCCACTGAATGTCATTACCTGTAAACAATTATTTACATGGTGAATAAATAAAACAAACTAACGAACAAATATACGTCCCGGGGTTAAGATGATTACTGAGGTATTCGGGCGGGGCGGGGAATGAAAAATGCGAGGACTAAGTCCACCGAGTTGCGGGAGGGGGTCGTATCATCTTTAGTTCGCATCCATGTTTGCCGCCCCCCTCCTTTTTCTCTTCATCTCTCGCCTTTCCTCTTTCAAATTCCCCCTTTTTAACCATCCGTACGTGTGGAATGATTGCACAACGATCAATGAGTGACAGGCATTAAAAAACACAGATATAAAAACATATATTGTCCAACCATTCTGAACTGTGACACAATAACAAAAGAAAAACGAAGTGATAGCTTTTGAATTAAGATTTTCGTAAATGAGAAAAAAAATATTATGAACAATACTATATGACTTTTGGCCGGAGAGATAAAGAATTATGAACTTTGAGTTCTAAATAATACAATACCATCAAGTCATCGATAATGATTTTATATGGTGTCCGTTCCGTAATGCTGTATGCAAGGCAAAATAACGAATATACCACTTAACCTCTCCGAATTAATCATTAACCCAATCTTATCAGAGCAATTAAACCATTTATGATCCTTAATGATCGTTTATGATCAACTAAGAAAATTATGTCACGTTTTCCCCCTTCTTTTTACCTCGTAGAAGCCATAAATGCAATGATATAACGTGGTCATAAGCATAGCCTCTGTATGTTATAAAACCTATTTTGTCCACTTACGAAGCTTGTCCATCTTTTTTCATTTTATTTAATTCGAATTTTCGTTACATTGTATTGTTTAAGTCTTGTTTGCTGTTATTAGTTGAAGATTAAAAGGCTACTGGATTAGGGCAAAATAAAAAAGTACAATACCAAGTATTTACAGCGAAAACACAAACCCTGCACTGAAATTTGAGGGCTTCAAAAAAGATCGATCTTAACGGGATGAAACAAAATAATTAAACAATAGTATGGTTTAGTATTTACGGCTTTGGAAAGATATAAAAGGCAAATGAAAGCTGATGAAGCTGTATGTAACATATATTAACGTCATTTTGTTTAAACTTAATACATGTAGTATATGACATCGCTACATCAAAAAAGTTTCGATATAAAGCGGGTGAACTTGAATACTACATAATACATGGAGGAATTATAATGATATTCGCTTTTTTATTAGGGTAGCTATCCTAGGTCGAGATGCAAACAAAACAAAGAGACAAATTGGGAAAAAGGGAGCTAGGGGAGAAAGGGAGCTAGAGCCTGAGAGATTTGAAAATCGAAGATATGGGAGAGGAATGAGGAGTAGGAGGAAGAGGAGAGAAAGAGAGTGAGAGGGGAGGGTAGAAGTTTAGAAAGATGATCTTTTATCTGTATTCAAATAGAGATGTAGCGAGAAAGTGAATATTAACAAATAAATCAGCAGCAAAACGAACCAGTTATAATCACACAACCGAACAGATGCCTGCGAAAAGGAACCTAAGAAGATTTACCTAAATAATTACGAAAAAAGAAAGAATGACATATAACTTACGTGTACTTGGCATCTGCCCATTCCTCTCCAATCTTCCTTCTGATATTAAAGCCCATCCTGACACCGTCTTGACCCTCTTCTAGCTTGCTATCAATACTTCCTAAACCCAACCAGATCTACTATCCTACCGCAAAGCGTCTTCTGTCCTATATCCTAAAAACCGATCTTGAATTATATTTAACGATGAAGAGTTTCGTTTCTGGTGTTCGAGGGTGCGTGGACTTTGTTCAGTTATTAGAACGCCGTCTTCTTTGGCAAACAAGACAATATACGATACGGCGTCCCGACATTAACTTGGTATGGCGACAATTGCTCCTGGATTAGGTTCGTCAGAAGTATAATAAGGTTAGGGTTAGGGTCGCGATTGGGTTCTAGATTAGGGTTAGGGTAAGGGTTAAACCATGTAAGATGTATTATATTATTGAATGTTGAATTGTATATCTGATTTCTTGTCATAATTACTGTTCAGTTTCAGTTCAGTTTCAGTTTTATTTTTCATTTCCAACAGAAGGTTAGGTATAGCGTTGGGTCAAAGGTTGAAGTTAGGAATTTGGTTAATGTAGTAGGAAATTATAACGGAACAAAATAATGTCGCAGGAACAAGAGTTGTACTTTCTTACGATGCGTAATGTCATAATCTAGAACTGAGATCAGAACAACTACCCGGACTATTGCCGCCGATAACTGCGACCAACTAATCAATTATTCAATCAACCAATCAAACAGCCTCCAATCAACCAATCAATCACTCACTCAACCAATCTGTTACGAACCTTATATTCGTGTACGTTAATGTTAAAGGTAATCCAAAGTTTTGGGAAATTTTGAAAATTGGCTAGATAGTGATTCTTTACAATTTTGATATATTTGGATGCCCCTGTGGATGTATTTTAAGCGCTAGAAAATGTAGCCCCTAAAACACTTCTGCTTTCGAGTAAAATTTAATATTCAAACAGCGTTTATAGCTTAGACCATGAACATCTCAGAATATGTAGTTGTGATATATAATTACCAAATGAAAATAGCCAATCGGTCAATTTTAGTCAAGAAACATTGTTTTATGGCTTAATTCATATCTTGATCATGAGAGGGAGCTATACAACATGAAGGCCCGAATTCAAAAAAGAGTTTTATCGAAAAGTACAAACCTAGGTTTGAAACGCGTCAAAACGCGTCATATGACGCACATAAACCTATAGGTTTGTCGATAAACCTCCTTTGTGAATTCGGGCCATAGAGTTTATTATTTACAATTTCATAATTTTAAACTCAATTTCAACCGCGACGATTATTGAATATTGTCGGATCGCATATGCTTCCAATATGTTCATTTGAACCAAATTCATGACCCCATATCAAAAATTTGTATTACCTTTAAATTACGCGCATGAGCAGAGGACTGGCTTGTGAAAGGGTTGATTTTATATTAAAACTTATGACCGTGTTTGTCACAGGTGTTATTTTTTTGGTATTAGTTCTGTTGCTACTTTTGTATTGTGAAGTGTCAAAAGATGAAATTGTATAATTTAATGTCACCTTTTTGTGACAAATCAATCAATCAATGAGCAGAGGACTGGCTTGTGAAAGGGTTGATTTTATATTAAAACTTATGACCGTGTTTGTCACGGGTGTTATTTTTTTGGTATTAGTTCTGTCGCTACTTTTGTGTTGTGAAGTGTCAAAAGATGAAATTGCATAATTTAATGTCACATTTTTGTCACAAATCAATCAATCAATCGACCAACCAATCAAACAACCAAAAAACCAATCAATCTACTAATCAACCAACCAATCCATCAACCAACCAATCAATCAATCAACCAATCGTAGAATCCATCAACCACTCAATCAAAAACAATCAATCAACCAATACATCAATCTATCAATCAATCAACCAACCAATCAATCAATCAACCAATCGTAGAATACATCAACCAACCAATTAATCAACCAATACATCAATCAACCAATACATCAATCAACCAATACATCAATCAACCAATCCATCAACCAACCAATCAATCAATCGTAGAATCCATCAACCAACCAATCAATCAATCAACCAATACATCAATCAACCAATCAATCAACCAACCAATCAATCAATCAACCAATACATCAATCAACCAATCAATCAACCAACCAATCAATCAACCAATACATCAATCAACCAATACATCAATCAACCAATCAATCAACCAATACATCAATCAACCAATACATCAATCAACCAATCAATCAACCAACCAATCAATCAACCAATACATCAATCAACCAATCAATCAATCAACCAATACATCAATCAACCAATACATCAATCAACCAATCAATCAACCAACCAATCAATCACTCAACCAATACATCAATCAACCAATACATCAATCAACCAATCAATCAACCAATACATCAATCAACCAATACATCAATCAACCAATCCATCAACCAACCAATCAATCAACCAACCAATCAATCAACCAATACATCAATCAACCAATACATCAATCAACCAATCCATCAACCAACCAATCAATCAACCAATTAATCAACCAATACATCAATCAACCAATACATCAATCAACCAATCCATCAACCAACCAATCAATCAATCAATCGTAGAATCCATCAACCAACCAATCAACCAATCAATCAACCAATACATCAATCAACCAATCAATCAACCAATTAATCAATACATCAATCAACCAATCCATCAACCAATCAATCAATCTAAAACAATCAATCAAACAATACATCAATCAATCAACCAACCAATCAATCAATTAAGCAACTCGCAAATCAATCATTGAAAATAAACCAACCAATCAATCCATCCTTCATTCAATCAATTAACAAATCAGTCAACAAATCAATCAATCCATCCGTCTATCCACCAACCAACCAACCGACCAACCAATTAACATATCAATCAATCAACAAACCAATCAATTCATCAACCAGTCATAACCATATATATTTTATAATTCAATCCAATTAATCAATAGTTCAATCTAATCTAATCGCCCTTTCATTTGTGATATGGAGTTTAGTTTCCATTCATAATTCCTAAGTTCTTACAAGCAGGTAAGCTCACAGGCTAACTCACACTCCAATAACATCCTAAATTAAAATGCACCCTGTTGAAAAGAAGGCAAACAACAATTAATATTCATATTTTTGTAAATACTTTAATGATTATCAACTTCTTCAAAAGGTCATGGGATTAAAAAATTAATACAGCGATCTGAAAAGAAGCAGTACGTGATCATAATTCATAGATCTTGCTTGACCAACCCACAAACTAACCGCAAGGCAAACCGTAGCACAAATTTGTATCATGTCATGCACAGAAAAAACATAAATCTATAGTTATGTACATATAACTAATACTTTGATTAACAGAATACACTGATATATAGTCAATAGCCCTGAATCCCTGAAACATAATACATAAATCATACTGAAGGTTATTCAAATTCCTGCTACTTTGAAGGCATGTGACACGAACATGTTCAATAAACCAGGCAATACCGAATATGGGATGTACTTGCAAAGTAACGCATGTACAAAGATATTTGCGTGGTAGTACAGGTCAACAATTAAAAGTTGTTAAAATAAATGTAATAATCAAATTACTGGTATTAGGTGAGACAAAATAATACTAATAGCAGGTTCTTGTATAGTACTCATTAATGTTGGTATTGATGACCTTAACTATAGCATGGCTGCCATGTAATATGTAAAATATATGTATATAAATATATATCATATACACATATATTGAAGATGAATTGTGTTTACAAACAAGCTCTGGGTAAGCATAATATATTAAAATAAAATGTAATTTCAAATGAAATCACTAGCCTCACAAATGAAGAAGTTGCCCAATAAATGTATAATTTTTTTCCAACTATAAAAATATATAATCCACATGACATGAACACATCAATAAAAATACAAATGATAAACTTATATTTTAGATCTCAGGCCAGCTGAGTTATGTACAGAGATATATACATATCTGTTTACATACATGCATCTGAATCATAGAACAAAATTTCAAATATAATTTCATATGTAAACAGTTCAACAAATGTCAAAACTCCATATTCAACTTTCAAAACAGAAATGTACTAAATTACAACTCGCAGCTGCAACCAAACTTGGAGGCAAACTTTCTACTACTACTATTACTACTACTTTTCAGCAGAGTTGGAGCCTCGAGTTGTGGCGAGCTGGCGCGATCTTATGGCAAGCAGTTTTATCATTGAAACATATTTCTTGATATCAAGAATTCAATTCTTGATATCACGAAATCGAATTCCTGATATCACTAAATTGTATTCTTGAAATCAAGAATTACCATTGCTTTACAACATAAAATTATTTCTTGATAACAAGAATTGATTTATTGATATCAATTAATAATAAAACGGCTTACCATAAGATCGCGCCAGCTCGCAACAACTCGGCTAAGTGGGAGCCCTGCTTTACTATTACTACCAAAATTACTAATACTCTTACTACTACTACTACTACTACTGCTACTTACAATGGATGAACAACCAGGTCCATTTCAATGCTTATCAAATGAGGGAAACATACATGCTTAAATGTGTAATGTTAAAATGTAGATGGGGCAGACGATCAGAGCTGCAATTAAAACTGGAAATTGAGTTGAGTACTTCTACTACCAAATGTAGCTCCTTACCATAATCCATGAAGGCAATTTTATACACCAAGTCAAACTTACATATAAGATACATAGAAGGGGCAGAGTAACGAGCATATGCTGGAGGGGGTGGGGGAGGGGGTGGGGGTGGGGGTGGGAGGAGGGGGGGGGGAATAAAAATTTCAATTCCTATTGGAAAGGAAGCACACAAATATATGCTTTATGCCCAATTTCAGGGAAAATGCAAATAGCTCTAGCAAAGTTCCTTTTTTCTTCTGGCAAATTCCCAAACTTTTCGAAACACAACTCTGAATTTATCATCATCCAAATATAGAAGTTCATATGTACAAGTAGCTCGTTACGAGATCATTAAGCTCAAATAAAATGGATCAACTTCCCCATAACCCTTAATGACAAAGCACACATGAATTTACATCAGATATCAGAGATTACATCATGAATATAACATAAATATCTTTCCTTGGGATAGTACCTATAT